GCAAACCAACTCTAAAAAATAGGGAAAATTATTTATATAATGATACAAAGTTTTTCAATAAACCAATTGTTTTTTTATGTCCAACACAGCCCACGTATAATTACACGTAAGCGCAATCATCCATCGGATTACCCCCACACTCCTTTACAAAAGAGGACCGACCATATTGAATCAAATTTATGACCCATATCACTTAAGAGGGGGATGATACGCATTTAAGCCACACACACACACACACACACACACACACATAATCAATCAATACGCATACAAGTATTAGTGGAGACACCCACGGAGCCATACTTAGTAATGCATGTGTGAAGGGTATTCACGAGTACTATCGGTAATCATTAGTCAATGTGGGCAAACCAGGATGAGTCAATGAGGCATAGAACTGGCTTGCTAAGAATGAGCCTAAGTACAGGATTGTTGGATATACACGTACACTCCCCCCACAGTCTACTACATTCCTGATACCCACCACAAGAATGTTTGATGAGTAATGGGCCAATGGTGGCCTTGCTGTAGTTGTCAGGGCTCAGGGTTAGAGTGAAGATATTTGGTTCAATACGTAAAGGCTTATAGTCCAGAGGCTTTTGATGGTGCTAAGTGAGGGCATAACAGCTAAAGTAGGTTTTAAAAACAATATTGATGTATCTATTTAGCTACTTTCATATTAAGCAGAAGGCTACAAGGCTTTGACAGAAAGACATGGAATGTGGATTGACAGAAAAATTTCCTTTTTTTCAGTAAATGACAAAATATTTTAGCTCAATATCAGAATAACAACCAAAAAAGTATAAAAGGGACAAATTTGTGCATCAAAAAGTATTAGGCAGATTGAACAAACACATGGAAGTCATGTCAATGTAGTTGAATCAAAGTCAGACATACAGTATAGTTAATCCTATTCTCTAGTGTATCTCTTTCCACTTCACTTCTCAATTAATGATAATTATTAGCCATTCAATGCATCATCTGTCACTTGTCAACAATCTCCCCTCATCAAGTCATTAGAACCAAAAGCACACAGTACACATTGCTATTGCATGCACACAATTTAACGAATCATTGAAGACTCATAACCATCACCAAATCCAATCACTGTCTGAGCGGGTAATTGCAGCTGCCATCAGCGCTAACTGTTTCATAAACAAATCTCTCCATCTCTCATTTCTCTTTAAGGATTAGCGATTATATGGCTCAACAGTGAAAATACTACATTGCTACATAATGAATGCTGATCATTCGAAATCACTAGACATTGAAAACATAGTATGATCCTCTTTAGTTATTAGCTTTATGTCTCCAAGATCCATCTCATTTTACTCTATGCTCTTCCTGTTACCTGGTACTATGATCAAATTATCCTAAAATGAAGTCCTTCATGGTCTGCTGACAATCAAGAACTTAGACCTTGAGCTCTCCCCCCTCTCACATAATTGCATCATCTTGAATACTTTTAGTAAATTAGTATTGAATTCAAGACTATATCCTGCATTGTACATGTAATTGATGAGAGACATGCACCCATACAAATGCAATGCACTGTCTCTCAAAGGAGAGACATCAGTCACAGTGCATTACAAAATGAGCTAATCCTCAAAGTTTCACAAACTATAAACAGGAATACACATATTAAACTCCACTAGATTTGGACACACACACACACACATTTTTAATGCACATATATTAACATTTAAGTGTACACGTATACATATATAAATCTGCTACTCCCTCCATTAGAATTCATAACAGTCCACACTCACTATGATCCACCAACAAACATACTTGTACATGCCAGATGGCACCATAAACTAAGTAGACAAATATTCATGCAGCAATTATACTCTCCAGTGAGCCGTGGTAAAGGCCAAGCATAACAAAATGTATGAGTGTGTGTTTGTTTCTTCTCTTTGGCATGATTCGGTAGATTAAACAGGTAGAAACAGAGCTGTAATAAACCTGCCGCAGGCTATTAGAGGCAGCTAGCATGGACAATGCAATTAATGTGTAATTTGTATGAATTATAAGCTTAATGATAATGATGAAAGAGATACATTGCGAAAATAAAATAATCACTTTCATCACAAAACAGTTATATTAGTATTAGTAATACCTCAATGGTTGACTCTGGCAGATCAAGAAGACTGGCCAATTGCTTCACTGTTGGTCTGGCTGGGTAGTGAGATGTGTTATATGAGAGCTCCAACTGATGGATCTGGAATGGGGTGAGCTTTCTTGTTCCCTCTGTCTTAACTATCAGCTGCTCTTGTGAGTCTGAAAAAGGAAAGGAGGAGAGAGGGGAAGAGATGAAAAGATAAAAAGTATAATATATAAACTGTGGGCTTCAGTAGTTACATTCAACAGGAGAAATGCAACCAAGCTATGTAAATGCTATGACAGTGACTAACAGCAGATAGAGAGACAGATGTACAATGAATATAATATATATAGCTTAAGAAAATTAAGCTACAATAACCTAGAAACATACAAGAACTAGCTGCAATACAGCAATACAAAGTTGGGATAACTTTTCCCTACTACAGAAAACACAACAATAAATATCACAAAGCTACCAAGCTGGCCTAATTCATAAGCAGACAAACAAATTAAACTCCACTGGCTGCACATTTACTTCTTCTATAATGAACTTTGCATATGTCACAATATACAGTGAACTACCTGTTATTGACTCCCACAGGTGTTCCATGGATGCTCTCATCTCATACATGCTATACTATTTAATATTAGCGTCATGTGAGAATGTTTTGAATCCAATTTTCCAATAGACTAAAGATGAGGCATGCAAGATTGTCCTATGCCACGTACTAGGATTACTGTTTGTGTGTCGGATAATTAGTCATTATTTCATATAGGGCTAACAGTATTATACACCAGCGTACATACATCAAATATAACGTCATAATATAACCGCATAGCCATTGAGTCTATACCAGGCGATTGACAATTATTATTATTATTCTTCCATAGCTTCCTATACTCATTCTTAAGGGGCAATTGATCACACACAAAGGTTTGTTATTGAAAGGTTAATGAAACTGCGTGACAGACTATCGACAAAAAACACATTGTAACAAGCAAGCGTATAGGAACATGTTATAACAGGGCAAACCCATGTTTCATAGGCCAACCACTAAACTGAATGTACACAAGATCAAACATGTCACAACCACACGCATAATTAATAATTACGTAATGTTGCATGTTCATAAAGCATATACTGATAAATAATTATTGCGCTACCTTTTCCGGAGATATTCGGTACTCCACTATGTCCCTGGACTGGTGATTTCGATGGAGTAGTAGGCGAGTTGGCCCCAGCACCTCTTATGTAGCTAGACTGACCAGCCATGTCATGATCAATGGCAGCTTTGTCAATATTAGAGGAAGGCATGTTGGGTGACGGATTGTTAGGAATGTCAGAAGCACCAGAAGGGGTACATTGTATCTGACTGTAGCCACTGTTTATCTCCTGAAAGGAAATTAAGTTGAATATAAACTGAGGCCTTCTAACAATACTTTATTACTCATCGATAATTAAATGTGGTGTGTATGCGTGTTCTTAATAAGCAAAGAATACAAACATTAATTAGACCGATAAAAGGCTGTTTGAGCAAACTAAACTAACCATTTAATTAGATTTAATTCAAATATTATAAATAACGAGTTTTTCTAACCTGGTGACAAGAGACACTATCGCCTCCTCCGGTAGTCGGGGGAATTGTTGGATAGACAAAATACGGCATGCTAGGAGTGGCGGACTGCTGAGTTGTTGTAGCAGCTGCTGGGAAAACGGTCAAGAGCTTCCCGTTAGAGCTACCGGAGTCTAAGTGGTGATGCTGCGGGGGCTGGTGTGGATGCTCTTGTAAGCCGGGGTGAGCGCCCCAAGGACCGGGACATCCTGGGGGCATCGCTCCACTACCAGGCCGGGGAGGGAATCCAGCAAAATGAGAGAGAGTGTGGTGGCTGTAGGGAGAGGGTATGAGTCCGTTGTAAGACTCGTGAGGAGGAGGAGGGAGGGTCTGGAGGATTGAGAAGTGACCGAGTGCTGCTTTCTCTTGGAGGTCTTTCTGCCTCTGTTGGGCTCTTGTCCGGACTATTCTATTAATGGAGCTCACCGATGGGACATTAACCTTGTTGCAGATGCCTTCAGTTAGGAGGCGATCGCGTATCTCCCATGCAAAAATGCTAGGGTTTTCTCTCTTGTAGTCTTCAATCTTGTTGACAACTTTGGGAGTTGCTACTTTAGGCTTGCTACCTCCGATGATCCCTGGCTTGACAGAGCCAGTCTCGTAAAATCTGCAGATAATGGAAAAGATGCAAAAAGTACTAGTAGTGAGTTTTTCTGGGATTATATTTCATTGCATAGTGAGTTTATTTTAATGCGTGAAAGAAGCTTCATGAATGTCGTTAAGGCATTATTTTAATGTTAGTGTGTGTGTGTACACTGTCTGAGCTAGCAATGAATAATGTCAAGCTTGTGCAGCAATCTTATCACAGAAGGCACGCAGCTGATATTACACAAGATCCAATGGCTTTACCTTCCTAATATCTTGCTCACACAGCCATGAGAGACTCTCAGCTGACGGCTGATGTCGCATGGTCGGACACCATTCTGCGCCAGTTCCACTATCTTCCTCCTGATGATGTCTGGAAGTGGACGACCGTTGACAAACACCCCGCCAAGCTGGTTCACCCCTCCTTGACCTGCAGAGCCTTTTGCCATTTTAAAGCAGTCAATGAAAGATATAATGGTAGGAAAACCGAATGGAGTAGAGTAATAGTACCCAAAAACAGCTGTGCGTGTAAGAAGAGAAGAGTAGCATTAAACAATGATAAAATAAGAACCAACATGCATACTGCGCATCACAAAATGCAGATACAAGTACAGAAACTCTATTGCAAGAGGAATCGACGCAATGTCGATCTCTGTACTGAGCACAGCTACAAGCCATGCTGCAGGCATATGAGCTAGTAGCTTTTAATTAGCCAGAGAGACCATAGCTGGCCAGGCACAGCACGCACCAATACTTACGTGTTCTGCAAGGCTGCACGTCAATGAAGACACAAAGCAAGGACGATCAAGTAAGTCAAAATACTTCTTCTCTCTACCTGAAAGGTATGCTGTGTGGGACTGCTCTAGTGGAAAACCGCTTATAAACCATAACTGACCACGTGTTGATTTATTTCAATTGTGAGCACACGCCCTCTACTACCCACGCCTTTAAATTATCCAAAAATTTTGACGGAGAGAGTACACGTACATGTACATTATGATCATCATTATTATTTCTTTGAATCTTTTTAGTTGTGCACTCTGTTAAGTTTTATCTTATCCTCTGATTCACGGTTAGGTTTCTGTTACAGACGATTGCCTAATTGGAATACTTTCAACAGCTCACAGTTTGATGATGCAACTAATTACCGTACACACAACATTAAGTTCTATACATGATTTAACTCAACACTGATTCAGATGAGGAGGTAATAGATACTGGTATACAGCCAGCCATTCCTATGCATGTAATGCTGTGCAGTTTATAAAGCTAATGCTACCACAGTACAAATGTTTTTAAAAAATAACAATTATTTAGAATTAAAAAACAATTAATTACAAAGGAAAATTGAAAAAATACAAAAATAGTCATGCATTAATGAATAAGGCAAGAAGGCACATCGTTTTGGCACTCTTGACGAAGCAAAGTGTACAAAATAGAGAGATTGAGTTATGAGTATTATTATTACTGAAGGACACAAGCAAGAGGCATGAACGTTCAAACATATATAAGAGAGAACTGGAGGGAGAATGTGAGAAAAACATAAAAAACACAGGAGCTGGCCATTATTATAATGGACACTACCAACATTGAAGGACTAAAACAAGAGGAGAAGAGAGAGAAAGAGAGAGAGAGAGTTAAGGTGGGGGAGCTAGGGTATAAAAAAGAGAAGCAAGCTAGCTAGGTATTCATAATGTAGTCTCGGTTGGGTTCTCTTCATTATCGGGTTTAAAATCCTCCGTGTAATCCAACTGGAGCGAAAACTTTCTCACGTCATCACACAAAGGAGACACGACGTCTCCGGCACCAGAACTAGACGAAAGGTCATACTGGCTAAAAAGGTCACCTCCGCTGATATTCCCACTACCCAAATCAGTCGGTTTCCCAGGATTGGATCTCAACGGGGTAACGGCCTTCCTGCTCCTAGGATCACTAGTATCAGACTTCTTAGCAGGAGAAAAATGAATGGGAAGAGACGAGCGAGTCGGGCAAGAGGAAGAAGAGGTTGATGACGATGAAAAATCATGAACCGTATGGGATTTAATCTCAGTAGGAGAGAGGGTTATACTGGGGCTGCTGGGTGTTGGGGTCGGCGGTAAAGGGGTGTTAATGTTATAGTCAGTAGCTAAGGCATCGTTGTTTACTCCTGAGGACGAAAGAAGTGGCTGGCCAGACAGAGAGTGAAATCCAGACTCTTTGCTTGATTTGTTGCTCAAAGGAGGAAGGTGTGGAGACGCGGTATAACCTGCCGTTTGGAACTCGCTCAGACGTCTTGAAATGAGAGACGCAGCAGGTCGGCCATCAGCATCATCATCCCAACACTCCACGATAATATCAGCAATGAATGAATACTTCTATCATAAGGGAGAGACAGGTGAGAAAAGGAGACAAAATATGGGAGAGAATTCAAGGTCACTGTGACATTCATGTACATATCGCATTCATTATAATATACATATCGCATTCATTATAATATACATATACATTTATATAAATGTACAAGGGAGCATATTCATTATTTTGAGGCTAAGATAAAGGATAAAAGTACATGAACATCAACCACTATCAAGTCTATACCAGCTGTGATATGTACATTCAAATTTTGACCATATCCACTAGGTCCTTTTATAGCTGCACATACACATACATGTACAGACAAGGTTCCATCATATTACTAACTGATTGTTGCTAACCAGGTTTGTTTGAAACTTTTGAGGAATGGGCGGCCTTTTTTTCTCCTCGACTACAATCCTCTTCATTTCATCAATCGAAGGATTTGCAGAAACCCAGCCATCAAATGGAGGATAGTAACTTGGATTGGAAGCTGTGAATAGAAGGGGAAGGGGAGAGAGAGAGAGAGAGAGAGAGAGAGAGAGAGAGAGAGAGAGAGAACAAGTTAAATTGTGCATATGTAATGCACACTCTATTAGGTTCCCATTACAAACAAAAACATAACTTCACTGAAGCAGAAGGAATTGAAATTCAAACAAATACCCAATACAATAGTATAGTAGAGAATTAGGATACTAAGACTATACAGTCAAGTATTATCCTTTTATGTCACTAAGATTCAAATATTGTACGAAAACCACATACATCTTGTGATGTAAATGGGGTTGAAATTCAAATGTGAGTAAAGGATAAGGACCATTAAGCTAACAGAGCTGTAGGGTTAGGAGATTAGTTTATGGATCACGCTTGCCTGAGCATACACTACTGCCAAATATACATGTAAGCAGATATTAGTAGAGACCAGATTTACCACCCATATCTACAAATATTGCTATACCCAACCAACCATTAACAATAGCAATCACACAGACACAGACACACACACACACAAAAATAATAATACTTATATATACATGTATACATACATGTTTATATGCCTATAACCAAGAGTCTAGTCTATTCTTAATTGCTATAACTATTATTGTTCTTATTATTATATTGTGCAGCTAAAGTTTATGCCTGTACATATCTCAAATTATAAATGCATTCTTATACACATTGACTTATTATTATCATTATTATTATTATTATTATTATTATTATTATTATTATTATTATTATTACAGGTCAGATACTCTAGCTAATGGTCACACTTATACCCACATCACTGCTTGATCTTTGATTTGCTCAATCAACTGGAAACTTTATCATTGGCTTCAGGTTTAAATTTCATCCTGTAACACTTTTGTTTTTTAAATCCAGCTGCCCTTGAGAGGTTTTGTCATCCTACACACAGGGCACACGTAGAAAGCCTGTCTAGGTATGTATTTAAATGACCCAGAGGATAAATGATGAAAGGGCATAATGAGAACCCCATAAGCTTAAACTAATTATGATGAGTACACTAGTGATAGGATAGGACTGGGACAAAGGGCAAGGAGACCAATTACTGACTAATAGCAACCACATGCTACAAAATTAGAGGCACACCTTTGCTTATTCAAAGATTAGTCATAGAAAGAGCATCTGGATCATTTTGAGACAAAGTTCATGAGATACATTAGCTGCAGGCTATACACATGCACACACTACACGTATTGGAACAGGTAAACAATGTTCCTCTATGAACACAAGTGATTGTATCAGACATACAAGAGCCCAATAAAGCTTATACTACAAAGTACCAGGAAAAGATGAAGTGAGAGGTGAGCTTTGTAAACTGAGGGAGAGGCATCTTAAGAGGTAGTGGGAAGGACTAACCAGGCCACAAACACTTAAGAAGTCCGGCCCTCTCTCTCTTCTCTCTCCCTCTCCTCCTCAATTGCCAGGTCATCCTTACCACAGTTTACTTAGGCTGCCATCTGTGACCATTATGTACACAAGACATGCAATTTGTTCGTCTTTCATGAGCAATCCATTCAGAGCCACTGGCTTAGTGTTTATTAGGTGGTGAAACCTTGAGGGCTTTTGGTGTTTTTTTGAATTTGAAACTTGATTAGCAAACCTCATAGTCAATAAGGTATAATGGTCATGTGCATACATTATATTAATATATACTGTATTGGGGATACTGTATACTATACAAGTTGTATTGATGGGCGTCAGTAATAATATTATATGTACATGTATATGTACTTGTAATTCAAGTACAAATATGAAGCAACAGTAAAATAATAATAACCAGCTTCAATCAATGTAGCCCAGCCATTAATAATAATAATTACTGTAGCAACGAATATTTCAGTATCAGCTATCACAATGATTCATAGCACCTGAACTACTTGTAGGACACAAGGCATTAGCAATACCAGCAGGTCTCCCTTTAAATGTAGACATGTTATATGGTTATCATACATGCATGTAGACAAACAAAAAGAAAAGTCTTAGTGTCTGTGAGTGATGAAAAGGAAAGAGAGAGAGAGAGAGAGGGGGGAGAGACAGACAGAAAGGCATATGAACATACAGAGACACATTATACAGAAAAACCCACAGCTACACACAGACACACTCATAAAGGCCACATAAATGTACATGTACACACACACACTCATTGATAGCACACAAACTATTAGAGAGGGCAGGAGTCTTTTATTGTGGTATTAAGGAGGACTGGAGCAAGTGTACATTATTAGTGGGTGAAGCCTGGTAGGTGAGCCTTCTAATGGGAGACAGAGAGGGAGGGCCAGTCCAGCTCAGAAAACAGCTGTTTAGCTCTTAAAAGGATTCCACTTATAATAGGGAAAAGGTATAAAGAGGTCAGTTATTGAATTAATAATAATAATATGAGACAACAAACAAATATATTTTTAATGAATCTAAATAGAGTGAGACACCATACAAGAGTCCATGAATATAGAAGAAAGAGAGAGAGAGAGAGAGGGAGAGAGAGGGAGAGAGGGAGAGGGACATATAAGTAATAAATGCCAAAGACAACCACATACACAAAAACAGGAACACTCAATAATAACATACTACACACAAATCAGATACCTCATACGTACACTCACGTATTCACAAGATTTGCATACATACATACATGTAGATGCACATGTATCTATTGCAAAACACATACAAATACATGTGTACATAACGTGTGTACAATCTCTTAATACTAGTATAAAAAAGGAGAGCATTATTATACTTATTATTGATTATTTAGCAGAGCCTGTATGTATACACAAATGGACATGATGTTTTAATATTAAGAAACATAAACTTACATAATAGCTAGCACTTGAGTTTTTCTACTTTGTACAAATAAAAATAAAAGAAGTGGATCTTAAAGGCCAGCATGCAGTAACAAGTTAGTCAGTAATCCTTTGTATACCAACCACAGGAAACCACCCAATCTATACAATTAAAAATCAACTGCTGTCTGTTGGTCAGAAAATGCTTTGTACATTAAAAAACAGAATTTCTATCACTTCCTTGTAGTGTATAATATTATGTATAATATTATACACTCAAGTTTTTATGTGAGTGGATTACATCATAGATACTTATCAATACCACAATACCACTGAACACTAATAATAGATCAACAGAACATAATTCTAATATGTGCGTGTACATGTACATTTGTAACACGTAAGTATACTAAGATATACTAACATATACTAAGATATACTAAGATATACTAAGATATACTAACATATACTAACAGTAAATTAGCTGATAATCTGAACACAGATACATGTATAACATATATGCAACAAATAAATACATTTAATAACAATGATAATAATGAACAAGTTAATCATTACTCTCTCCCTCTCTTTTTCTCTGTTTCTGATAGAATGGTTGAAGCATTCAAAAGGAGAATTATATACAGTTACCTGCACAGCCATACACATGTAGCACAACCCAATAGATACTCACACACGTTGATACATGCACGAATGGCGATATGCTCATCCTTCAAAGAGTACTATCAGTGGGTTCTCGTGCTGCTAAGCTTCCCAACAAAGTGACGTCACATTTCATTGAAAGAATTTGAGATTTATAGTAAATATACTCTAAGAGGTTATTTGATCAATCAAAAAGAGAGGAAATATTCAAGACTAAGAAGTGCAAGGCACACTCCATTGATGAACAAACACACCAACCATCATAACCACAAACATTCAGCAAAATAATGCAAGTAAATTAGTCTATTTAAGATATTATAATTATGTATATAAGAGCTGCATTATTAATAATGAATTTTATTATATGTCTATAATAACATGAGCTATAGCTACTTCAACAAAGACTTAGTCATTTTTAATATCATTTAGTGACATCTAATTACAGTAAAATAATAAAGGCTTCACAATTGTCACTATTTTTGATGTCAATTTGTCACTAGAAACACAATTTGATAAAATGATCCTTACATTTTAATAAATCTCTCAGTGCTTTTGTTTAAGCTAATAACTTAGCTAACTACAGGCAGGCACACGTACATGTACATGTACATGTACGTTTATACATGTGTACATGTACATATACATGTGCATGTACAGTAAATTGCATATAAATTGTACATTACTGGAGTTATCAGTTTTTGGAGTGTGTGTGTGTGTGTGTATGTGCATCTGTCAGTGGATAATTGACCAGTGTTTATATGAGCAGTGAAAAACTCAGTAAGCGTGACTCTGTTATGGAAATTAATATGTTCCACTTGATTGAATTATGAGTGACTTGATGGCCCATATTCTATTGGGCTGTATTGGCTTTGTATGGCCTGCACTATAAATTATAATAATGTACAGAAAAATCCTCCACAGTTGCTAATTCACTCATGTGTACCTACTCACAAAGAGACAAAAAGAGTGGGAGAGAGAGAGAGAGGGGAAAGGGTATAGTGAAGAGGGGGAGGTAAGAAACTAATTTTTTAATTGTGATAATTGTCAAAGGCTCAGTTATAAGAGTACAGTGCATATCCTCTATTATAATGAGGAATTCTGCCCGTTATTGGTACACTAGGTACTGTACATCAAATAGAGGTGACTGCTATAAAGGGCGCCCATTTAAAGAGGTTCCAGTGTGTAGTCTATATCTTTTGAATTAATTCATTTTGCTTATCTGTCTACTAGTTGTTTCTTTATAGTTTTGCTGTAGATAATTCTCTATGCATGTGTCTATATATGTATGCCTGTTTGAGCCTGCGTCATCTCTCAGAGGATCCATGGAATTTGATACACGAGGCAAATAATGGTATTCACGGGCAGAGCGGTATTCCCAAGCATAAAACAGAAAGAATAAAATAAAATAAATAAATAATAACAAGTGAAGCAAACCAAATACATAATCAAAAATAAGCCCCAACTACAGCCAAGACTAAGTGTGTGTGTGTATATGCAATATGTATACAGTATAGAGGAGCTAGGACATGGTTCATTGTAATGGTGAACCCTGTAACCTTTCTCAAGGATCTGCTATCACTTTCTAGACAAACGTGGAAACAGTGGTCATAATACTTATAACATTCCTTTGGCACACACACACACCTTGTGCCACATGATGAATTTTACTTTCAAAATAGAAATAATAAATTAATTTTTAGATGTGAAGGTAGGCTATGGGTTTAAAGTGAGAGGGAGAGAGAGAGGGGAAGGAAAAGGGGGCAAGAGACATCAAGAGACACAAAACCTCAATAATCCTTAACATAAACAGAAGAATGGGCATTACCCACAAATTACCAATAATACTACAATTATATCCTAGCTCTCTCTCTCTCTCCTCCAAACCAGCAGCTGATGATGGTTGATGGACCGTGACAGTTTAGTGAACTCCTCTGCTGGTGAACCCTCTCCCACAGAATGAGGGGAAGGAGCAGGAGATACTAACACACTCCACACAGCTGTCTCTTGGTTAATTAATTTGAATCTGATGAACTGGCTCATCAGTCACCATAGTAACCACACTAAGGACTGTTATGATATTCTCACACCCTCCTCCAGCAAACGTGGGCGAGAATGAAAGTCCAACAAAAAAGCCTTGTTTAATATTAGAAGCCTCTCTTGTTCCTATAGCCTTTACAAATACATGTGTAGGTTCAAAGGTGGTTATAAGGCTGTGAGAAGAAAGGTGGTGATTTCATTGCTAGAGTGTGGCTATACGCGTGTAAGTGCAGACACTGGAGTCTTCTTCCACCATGAGCAGCTGTCATTATTTACACAGACCCATTAAGTAATTTTACATTCTATTTACAGCCAAATCACTCGATACAACCCACCAACAACAAACAATAGTACACACTGCTCATCAATGATCATTCGCTTGCTGTGAGAGACTGAGATCATGCATACACAATCCTCTTACTAATAACTACAAAACTAATAATAAATATTAAATTACTTAAAATCAAAAGCACCTGGCTTTTGTTGAGACGTTAAATTATACATGTACAAGCAAATTTAAAGTTGTTTTTGATTAAATACAGGAGTTATTAATATGTTGAATGAGCAATAGCAAATGTAGGTATAATACAAGAAGAAATGTATACATACATGTGTACATGCACATGATGAAAATAACCTCACAAACGGTTGTCATGTACGACTGCATATGAAAGCTAAAACACAAATAAAATATCTCCCAACGTTCTTTCTAAAACAATTAGCAACTAGGAAATAATCCATCCCAAAGGTTCCATTACCCGGTGGTAGGGCTAATATGGTTATACTTTAGTATATTATATGAGTTGATGAAGAGTGGTCACTGATGGACTAATGCAGTCAATTAATTAGCTAAATGACAAGGATGACCACTAAATGAATAGATAAGGGTTCACAAACCCTACTATGATAATCAATACACATACAAACGATTGTACATCTACATGTACATGTACATGTACATCTACATGAACAATTAGGTGGTGTATTGAGTAAATAGTAAATGTATGCATTAATGTGTACATATGTATGTACATGTATGTGTAGTATAAGTTATACTGAGAGTTTGTTCTCTTTTTGGATAGTCTCCAGTTGTTTTCCCGGCAGACCTGGCAGGCTCCAAAGAGACTTGAGAGGGAGTGGCATCTGCAAATCAAAAGCCCAAACCTTTCCAAAATACAAACCACGGCCATTGACTGTAACCAATGTAGCAAGAGCATTGGAATTACATGAAGAGAGTCACTGTATATAGTCAAACAGAGAGTACATTGTGAACAATCCATTGAGTCCCAAAGAGTAACATAGCCATGAGGTTAGAGGAATCATTAACACATGTACATACACGTGTTAATAAGTACCAAAGCACATACAGACTCTATCAATTATAGGTAGAAAAGCAAAGGGCTATAAATTAATTGATGTAAGTATGTGGGTATGTACATGTACATGTAGTATGTAGCACACAATGTACATATGGAAGAGGCTGGTAAAACAAGAGCTGATCCAATTAGGATTGATTCTTATCAGGATGAGAATGTTGTTATAAGCTAATAACAACAGGAAAACAAATTGAGGTTTGAGCTCTACTCATGATCAGCGAGTACTCCTACGGAGCTAACACCTTAAGCCTATAGTACTTCCAAGGAAGAGAGAGAGGGAGGGAGAGAGAGATCTGACAAGATCTAAGAGATGGAACTCAGGGAAGCAATTATAATCCATCAACACAAGAATGTACACACTACTATAATTGATTAATTGCTCTACAAAGTTTGGGTAGAGTATAATTAAAGTGATTTCATGTGTTGCATAATGGAGAGGTTATGCTTAGTGTTTGATGGCTGATAGTCTGTGAGAAATCAGTATTAAGAGAAGTCATCTAATATCATGTAGAACCCATGCTTGTACAGTGTACAAAATGTATCTGAGTATTAACTACATGTATATTGAACTATACATGTACATGTACATTGACAAAGTATCTGGTATAAGTATATACATGTACACTGTACTACAGTTAAATTAAATTGAGTTAACTATTGCAAGTGTTATTAATCTAGGGAGCAATACAACGCGCAAAAGTTCACGAAAAACGAGCAACTAAACTTATTATTATTATTATTATTATTATTATTATTATTATTATCAATATGTCGTATCTTCCAACTTACTGTCATCGATATAATACATTAATAATAATAACAATATTATTAATAATAAAATGCTTACTGATGTTATTCAGATCGCAACAAGACAGCATTTCCCATAGTATAAGTCCAAAGGCGTATATATCAATCTTCAAAAAAGCTTCTTGATTAAACCGGACTGCTCCCTCTAGTATCTCTGGTGCCATGTACCTACTGGTACCAACCTGGGGGGGGGAGATAAGGAGAGTGCATGGTTATTATTATTATTTGGAAAACAATTCTGAGCCTGAAATTACTTTCAATGTTCAGATAATGTGTCTGAGCATTGCTTGGTTTGATCTGCCATATTTGACAACAAATTGACACAAAGCAAGTCCTATACTCAATATTTTGTTGAACATGGTTTCGGGCCAAATTTTGCCAAAATTGAAAAGGAGAGGATTCTTCATTTTTATAACTTTTTCTGATGCATATACATGTTCTTATGTTGTGTAGAAAATTTGAGCTGATTCCAATCAAGTTTGGATTTTTTTAACGAATTTTTAAAATTACTAAAATATCAGGTCAAAGACCAAAGGCTATAGCCTTTAGTCTTTGGCCATTTTTGATGGCTATTTTTCATCAGAAATTGCTAGGAGAGAATTCTCCACAATGGCTGACTGTAAAATGTCTACTTGAATAGTACAAGGCCACACACACACACACACACACACACACACACACACACACACACACACACACACACACACACACACACACACACACACACACACACACACACACACACACACACACACACACACACACACACACAGCATTGCTATGGTCAAAGAAACTTCATTAGTTCAAAAATTAAAAGAATTTGATAAAAAATTAACAAGTAATGGGGCATGTAATGGCAAACAAGATAGCAATGCAGAGTACAGGAAAGAAAGATGAACAAGACTTACTGTCAACAATACAGCACATCCAAATAATATAAATATTTTATGATCATCTAGCAACACAGCATGTGTGCCACGTACATGTAGTTTAAATTGACATTTGCAAAAACTTCTTCCTTGAAATTCTGAGGCTATATGTAAGTGTAATAGCATACATTATCAGATTAAGCTTTATTATAAAATTATAATCTGTCTATAATAGTAATGCAATAGTTAGCGTCCATACAGTAATAGTCAGTGGATGAATTACACTCAAACAACTAATGACACACTGCATAATCATTAGGATGTAAATTAACAAATTAACTAAATACATAATTACTCATAAATTTGTACAAAAGACCCACCATTAATTAATCAAAGCTATGACTGGTAAAGTAATTTGTACTGTACATGTACATGTACTGTACATGTAGTACATGTAGTACGTCAGGGGGGTGGAGTCCTTACATTTTGTAGTAACATAGTCTAAATACAATACAAATAGAAGACAGTCATACTACGCATGTATAGACATGCTGATAGTAGTCAGAGCAACAGTTTGCAATAAGAGAAAAATGAGACGGCACTATTTAATAAGAACAGGATATCCAGTAATAAGGAACCAATTACTGTGGTTGATGACTTTAACTACACGTACTGTACACGTGCATGTAGTTGCAGAACATGGTGCAACTAAAGGCTTTGTCAATTAATGGATCTCTATTATGTCACGGGTAACTCTTACAATAACTCGTGGGTACTCAACCAAATAAAGTATAAATAAATTAATTAAAAAATCAATTGATGAATATATTGAAATAAGAAAGCAATTGGCTCGTATTTCACAAGTGATGCTAATTGGATTACATGGAGTGATAACAGTCTAAAGACTACTCCAGAAGCATTAGAAGGTGCTATAAGGTAGCCATGCAATGAAGTATTAGTACAATTAGAACTGTCTGACTATTAGGGACAGTATTCAGGCAATGTAAGTACATGTGATGGTCCTAATAATAATAATAATAATAATAATAATAATAATAATAATAATAATAATAATAATAATAATAATAATAATAATACATGTACATGTAATACTATAAAAAAAACTAAGACTAATAATACTAAAAATAAGAACAATTATCATTATTTAATTATTGTTATTATGAAGATTTAATTACTATAAAATGGCTCTTAAACTTCTTCCTCTTCACTTCCTCCTAATCCATCCTTTTACTACAATGCTACAGTACACCCTCCCCTCCCTCCCTCTCTCTCTCACTCACTCCATTCACAAACCACTTCACTGGTGGAGCCACCTGCTCACACTAATTAGTTAAAAGTATCCTTCAAAGTATCAAAGTTGAGGCACTGTACATACAGAGGAGCTCTCCTACACCAACCATCCATCCATTATCAGCCTCTTCACTAACCACACACACATGTGTGCTATGTAGCTTACACTTAAGTGTATGCCCACAGAGTGGAGTGGTACACTGTATGCCCATTACAAGTACATAACTATACATTAATATTAGACACAGTTTGATGTATAGGGTAGACACAGGATTAGTCCTACAAATATATTTATGCTCTTGGTGGCTAAAAATATTAATGAAGACCACTACAATACATTACAACATCACTATCATTAGATCAGGAGGAGAAGGTTCAGTCATTCGTTACTTCCTACCATGACAATATCTCATGCTTGTTTACAAACTGACTAACTCTTAGTCTCTCTCTTTCATTACAAAATATTGACCCAGTCAACACACAATGGATTACAAGAGATAAGTACTGCAAGAGCAATGTGACATCAGACACATATGCACTAGAATTGTATATAGAAATTGAATTTTAATCTTCTACTTTGAAAATGTACACACACGATATATCATACTCTAGCTAACCTGTCCCTTTGCTTCAGAGAGGATCATATCAACCCCATCAAATTTGATAGCAAGCCCAAAGTCACTAATGCAGCAGGTCATGTCCTTCTTGACCAGTATGTTCTTACTCTTTAGGTCTCTGTGGGCTATGGCCGGCTTATAAGTCTCGGGACAATTATCGACAGAGTGGAGGTGCTCTAGCCCAGCCGCCCCCGAGAGACACAGAGAGAATAGCTCATCAAACGTGAGACGGTGAAGCTGGAGGTAGTCGTAGAGAGAGCCGTTCGAATGATAATCAAAAATAAGCCACAAGGTGTCTTGACCTTCGTGAAAGCGATGATCATGATAGAGGAATCTAAAAATAACAACAATAGTAACAACAACAACAACAATAACAACAACAATGATAACAACAACAACAACAACAATAACAACAACAACAACAATAATAATAATAGTAATCATGTATTGCTATTCATCAATTGCTAGCCTTTAAGCTAGGTTTATACTCGACACAAAACGCAATGCAAATGAATGCAAAATTGAAATTTGACCAATTTTGCGTCAACTTCAAAGCGTTTTTGCGTCAAAAGGTCAAATTGCCCAGCACTTTTCACTGTTTCGTCGAATGTAAACCTAGCCTTTATAGTACATAAGTGTATGTACATGTACATGCAACACATAATTAAAACACACATTATGTAACCCGACCCTCTTTTTACTATTATTGTGATGCTCTCATTATAACTCACTTCAGTATATTCTCATGCTCCAGTCTCTCTGTGGCATATATGTCTTTCTCTTGTGTCCAGCTTCCCTTTGCTTGTAGCGTACCGTTGAATATCTTAATGGCAACATCTCGGGTACCCATTCGTGCATGATAAACACGGGCAAAACGACCGTGACCGATTATTTTCATAAATTCGGGAGAATCGTATAGAGTTGGAGAAGGAGACGAAAGCTGATAGTTGCTCATATCAAGTCTTTTTCTGAAGGCTACCCTCACACGACACAAGATGATCGAAATACTGCAGAGAATTAACACCATTATCAGCAAAAGAGCTGCAAATACTGATGGATATACTACTCTATTACCTACAAAACACAGTAATAATAATAATAATAATAATAATAATAATAATAATAATAATAATAATTTAAATTTATTTTCTATTGTTTAATTAGGAGCTTGCATGTACGTGCAGCCTTCACTCCAATATGGCTGCTAATTATCACACACACACACGCACACACACACACACACACACACACACACACACACACTCTATGAAGTTATCACATTTCAAGTTAACAATGGAAGGCTATGGACAGAGTCCATGCACACGCAAATCTCTTAGTGATCATCCACTACAATAACTATAAAATAAATGAGAGGTCACTGGAGAAGGAAAACAGAAGCCAGAACAAAAGGGACATGAAACTGGCTTCAGTTTTATCAGATATTATCAATAAAAAAGCACACACACACACACACACAAACACAGACTGCCACTACTACTCAGCCACCAACACCTGGCTCTATTTCCTTGCTATTGGTAAAGAGAGGAGGAGGAGGTATAGTGACTGGAGTTTCCCCTTTAATTAATTACTGATACTCCCTCCCTTTCGACTTAAAGTGTGATAATAATGCTCTTTTCTAATGCAGTGCTGCTCCATACAATAGTACAGCACATGGTAATAAATTGGTATAAGATCACTAATATGTTAGCAGTGGCAACCTTCTTACATTTACAAGATATAAAGGCATCAGTTTTATAATGCATAAAAAAACAGGGTACAAAATAACATTTTTCATGATATCACACAAACTATAATTGATAAACACAGACAAATATCCTACACTTTTGATTAATAAATAATTACCGTATAGCGGAAAATTTTCGTGGCCCAAAAACTTTGCGGATCCGTTCAAAAATCAATTTCGTGGCTTTAATTTTTGTGGTTTTCTACTTTTCGGCCATCTTGAACTGTATTAAATCAATTTTCGCGGATTTTATTTTTGTGGATTTTGAAAAAAAAAACGCGAAATCCACAAAAAATTTTCCGCTATACGGTATTAGTCATTGAATATGTAATTTATATATTTTAAATCTTAGCTGCTTAAAATCCTGAAAACATAGTCTTCAATGTAATCCAAAGGTCACTTACTTGAAGCTGTTTGAGTAGCAGAGACATAAGGAGAAGAACTTAGAAAGATAGTAATAGAATCAGAGGAGGCCATTAATGAAGTGGAAGACATGGGAATAGGGCTAGTAGCGTTAAAGTCTGGAAAGATCAGGCCCCTTTCATTACAGAGATCACCATAGCAGCAACAAGAATAGACATCGTTATTATGAGAGAGCCTGGTAATATTGGTCAGAGTACAATTAGTGTTTTGACAACTAGAGTGAGAACCTATTGAATGACAAGAATAAGTACAAAGTAATAATAATAATAATAATAATAATAATAATAATAATAATAATAATAATAATATATAGTATATTAATAACAATAAAAATAATAATAATTAATAATAATAATAATAATAATAATAATAATAATAATAATAATAATAATAATAATATTGCTCTTACATGTAGTAATAACAGTAAAAAAACAATAATTATTTCCTGGATCTTACCAGCGAAACATGACTGAGTGTTAGGATAGAATGTCCCATTAATGAAATGAAAAAGAGCAACACAATAATGAAGATGAGTTTCTGTCCTAAGATCATCAGATATCAACTAAAAATGAAAATACTGTGAAAAAAGGTTTCAGAGTCCTCAAGGTGCATATACTTAAATGTACATCATTAATAATGTAGACATGTAGTTACATATACATGACTATTTTTTGTTATGTGTATTAATTATTATCTACTAACATGTGAGGAGGCACAGTGTTCAGTTGTATTAGTGTGACAAGAACCATCAAGTGTACAGTTACGATATAGACAGATTATTCCATCATTATCTAATGGGGGGGGGGGAGAGAGAGAGAGAGAGAATCAGAGAAAAAGTAACACATATACAATGAAATACAAGTTGAGGTGAGATATTGTAATTATAAAATTAAAATCATATTATTATTATTATTATCATTATTATTATTATTATTCTTTTATGTAGGTTTTATCATAATCTTAAATGCATAAATACTTATATTTAAAAATAAAATCATCAAATAAATGGTATGTATCCCTTACATGTAGCTGCACAAATTACCTTCACATCTGCCACTGTGTGGGCTTAGATATCTTCCAGCGTTACACTCGCAGGAGTAATTTCCAGGAGTGTTGATGCATGTTTCAGAGCAACCTCCATTGTTAATGGCACACTCATCAATATCTGAGAAAGGGAGAGGTGTCATTGAGCAGATAAATGTATGCAGCATTAATAGTTCATGATTTTTTTAAAATTTGCAAAAAAATTTAAAATCATCCCCAAACTTTATTAAATTTTCTTCTGACAAATAATGATGTCCTTATGTTCTGATTCTGACTAAAAATTTTTGAGTTATGGCCATTTTAAGAAAACGCCAAAGTTTTTTCCAAAAAATGGCTCCAAAATCACCCTAAATTTTTATTATATTTTCTGATACATATTGATGTCCTTATACTATGTAGAAAGTTTGAGGTGATTTCGATTTTAAATTTTCAAGTTATGGCCATTTTAAGAAAATGCCAAATTTCTGAAAAGTACCCAAGGCTATAGCCCATAGTTTTTTCCGAAAAATGGCTCCGAAATCACCCCCAATTTTTATTGCATTTTCTGATACATATTGATGTACTTATGCTTTATATAAAGTTTGAGCTGATTCCGAATTAAACTTTTCGAGTTACGGCCATTATTAAAAAATAGCAAATTTTCAGAAAAAAGGAAAGCATGGATTAGTATGCATGTACACAAAGATACTGGACAAACAAATGGACACAATTTCGCACTCACATACCACAATGATGCTTACAACAAAGTACACGTCCTGACAAAGAATAACTTAAATATTTGACTACAAATATAAAAGGACACGATCCACCATTGACATATCCTTAGTAACAACAGCCACCTGGTCTGCTTAATATTATCATCATCATCATCATCATTATTAAATTATTATATTAACAGTAAATTAATAGGACTCATACTATACATGGTAATAGGGTTCCAAAATCACACCCAATAGTTTGTAAACAATACTAACGCGATATTAATAAAAAGGATGCGTACAGGCCACATCCCCACCCACACACTTAATTACTAAATGATATAAATGCTATGCTACAAGGCACATTAATATTAGAATTTCATTTACTCACAAAAACATGAGGACAAAGGACACAGTTACATGTATGTTTATACAGGGCCATGTAATACCACACAGAAAAGAGATTTCTCATAATAGCTGCACATCACAATGTAAGTACATTGAAACCAAATACTATACAAGAAATACATTTACATGTACATGTACATGTACATGTACATGTACATATTCCTTTCAACTAGTGACAGGAGTGTATGGTCTAATTCATAAAAATGCTACGAGTAGATGTATGTACATATATCAATAGGACTGGCTATAATAATAAAAAGTATATACATGTACATGTACAGGTCAGGCATGGTAGTAATTAAGATATAGCCAGTTTGGTGATGATGAAAGGAAGGGCGTTACACAGTTAGTTTACACACACACACACACGCTAGCAAGCAGCGAGTGAGTAAAATCACTTACCAGTGCAAGAAGAGTCATTGAATAAAGCATATCCAGTAGGACAGTAACACTCAGGGACGTTATTAATAATCCGACAAGAATGGGTACAGTTACGTGAGGAACATTCTATCAAACCTGAGAGAGAGAGAGAGAGAAAGAGAATCAAATCATACAATACAAAGTAGATGGATAACGTATACATGTACACGTACTTTTACATTCCCACATATGCAACATACAGCGTTACAATGGATATTATAAATTAAACGCATAAATGTACATGTACATAATGGAAAGAATGCATGCCTACAAATTTCCGTGAAAGGGTATCACATTACACACACTAAATTCAGAAGCATCAGATGATTCACACACTCAAAATAGCTAATGCCTTACCATAAGTAGAGACTTGAGTAGGATGAGTAAAAGTGATATTTTGATTGCAAAGACTCTCTCCACAGCAACAGTAGTAAACGGCACTGTCCTGATCTGAGACTAGTGGATTATCAATATGGCACATACTAGTGGAGTTGCTACAGGCTTGCAAAGTTAAGGGGTTTGGTAGTCTATTGTGGCGACAGCCTTTGTACATTAGTTCAATGAGGTTCGTCGTTGGGTTTTTATGGTACGTCGCTATGCAGGAATGATCATCAGGATTGGAGCTAAAGGTTTCCGGGCAAACCTCATAGCCGTGATAGCAAATTCCATCATCGTTGAATGAGCAGTTGTACCTCTCACAAATAAGGACATCTGAGAGAGAGGGGGGGAGAGAGATGCACATTTAAGATAAACCATACAAGGAAGTTGGTCAGATAAAAGCAAAGGATTGGGGGGTTGATATATAGACTATGATAAACCAAATTGCCGATAAAGGAAGTAAAGAGAATGAATGTGTGAAGGGGAAGGTAGAGGGGAAGAAAGAGGGGGAGAGAGGGGAAGGGAGGGTGGGAGGCAAACAAACAAAAATACAAAAATGCAAATAAATATAATGGAACAAAGAGATACAGGAGAGAGAGAGAGAGAGAGAGAGAGAGAGAGAGAGAGAGTGAAAAAAAAGAAGGAAAGCCAGAGACCGAGAGAGTAAAAACAATTGATAAAAATACAAGAAACACAACCAACAATAACAATCTAGCTCACCAGAAGGTCTGACTGGGACAGGTACTGTAGGTATAGCACTAGTAACATTGAGGATTGGATCAACAGAATCAGTGTAGTTATCGAGCCTATTACAAAGATCACCAGTACAGCAGCAATAATGCAGACTATGAAAATTTTGAAGTGTCTCGAAAACGCAATCAGAGGACTGAGAGCAGGAAGGTGTGTTTGTGCACCTCATCTCTACAGGATAAGAATTAGTCCGTCTCACAGTGTGACACTTGTTGATACCCTCGGGACACAGCTCTATGCATATGTCAGCTCCACCCGGACATGCCGTCGAAAAACATCTGAATGATAGGACGTAAGGAAAGAGAGCGGTCAGCAGGGCGAGGAGAGAGAGGAGGGAGAGAGAGGAAGACAAAAGACGAGACATATGTCTTGATGTGTAGCCTGCAAAGAAAGGAAGTTATAGAGATGATTGGAATATGAGACAAGAGTCTGTGTTAATACTTTAGGAAATATACAGGTTCAAAGAATGCGCATAGCTCCGTTCACATACCCAATTAAGAAATACACAACAACAAGGATAATAATAATAACAATGATGATAATAATAGTATTATTTGCTAGGCGAGCCCTTCAAATATTTGATTATTATATATATATATATATACTTGATACAAACTGACTTTAAAACATTATTGAACGAATGAGGTTTGATACACAATTTAGCTGGTTATTCACAGTATAAATCATGGAAAGGCTACACCAATAACAAACAAACATATCAAATATGCATAAAATCCACCAAGTATTACGGACAAATATGGTTTATGTAAGTTCATGAACATACATGCAAAATATGCACATAATTTTTATGTACATGTACATACAACAAGCATGTGACAATTCATTATAAGCTACAATGTGGATATTGCACCATACGATAATTAACCCATAATCCTATTATAAGTAACATCCTGATCACACAAATGCATTTCTGCTCACAAATGGTGCGTGTGCAAAAGCAAAGATGTTTATTTCTTTGCCCCATTTCCTCCTACAGGTCTCCTTCTCTCTCTAAACCTCAGACCCAACCATCAATGAAACAATGAAGACACAACAGAAAGGAGCATTAATCCTGTTAGCCAACAATCACCACTACATAGACATGCACAGACATTGAGTCACATGTACTGTATTGCATATTTGTACTTGAAAAGCATACTTAAATATTAGGGGCTACATCTTTATGTCCTAGATGAGGAGTTGCTAAGCTGGATACATAAATCAACGGAGATAGAAACAGTAATAATATTTAGTGGAGAATAAGTACATGTACATATCTTGAGTGAAATTATCAGAGTTTAGCAACACAATAACTATTTATAGTCTATGAAAAAAATCAAAAAATTACACATTAACATGGAATGCTTGGATCATTTTTGTTTGAGGATATTCTTAAGGAGCGACATAATGCAAATTCTATAAAGGGTATGTGTATCGCTAATGTAAAATATATGCAATCATTTAGAGAGCAGATTATAATAATAAGAATGGACACAATCTATATGTATGTGTGTGCTTGTGTGGGTTTATTTAAATGAGTATAATGTCCACATCCATACAGATACACACACAGTATCCTCTCCTCTTCTATCCACAATAAATGAGGCCATAATCATAACAAATATCCATCCTTTGTTATAATAACAGAGTTTAGATATACATATACACACATATAAAAAACACCAGCCATTTATTTGCCAGTGTACACACACACAGAAGAGTGACATATATGTAACACAAATGAAAGGGTTTATGATATACAAACGGTGAGTCTTTGAGATAAAGAGAGAGTGTATACATTAGGAAAAAGTAGCTGGTAATGGGCTTTACCTAACAATATACAAACAATAACTGTAAACTCAACAATAACAGCCCAGATAGAGGGATGAGGGAGAAGACACCACAGTGATTACAAGAACTGCCCATTAGTAAAAGAAAATATACGCATTGGAGAGGATGGCTAAGAGGTATAGCTTACACAGTTAAGTGAAAGGCGATTGATATTATCAATATGATCATGTACGTGTTTATACAAACACTTATCGTACATATTACACCAGGACATTGTGGACGACTTACGTAAGGCCGAGATTTAAGGGCGTCTTTTAGAGAAAGGCTTTGGCTTCTCCGCCTGGTTCTTTATCTGCTCTCTCTTGTACACAAAATCTGTGGAGTAGAAACCTGGAATAGCGACATAAATACTACACGAATCGGCAAAAAATTCTATCATCAACACGGCAAATGTGGTGATAAAGTAGGCGTGACTGTGATAGGCGGGATCGGGAGAACCACACCTATTAAACTTGACAGCATTTGTACTTTATGAAAACATCACTAGTTTTTAAATACACACACATTATACAGGAGCGAGAGAGAGAGAATTTATTATGAAAAAGAATTATTATCATTATCATTATTAGTCTTTTAAACTTTATATAAAGTCGACTCTGTGATTCATTACATTGTGAGATGCTACAAAAAAAAGAGAAAAAAAAACAGTTAAAATCTGAACGACATTTGCCACCCTTACCATGATTGCATTGACAATATCGTTTTTATGATTTTTAAGTGCAGTCACAGCCTAAAATAAAAGCAACAAAGAATCAATAAAGCTACAAATTCAAGACACTCACAGCTTTTCTGGAAACGCTAGCTTGCTGCATGACTAGTTTAATATCCTTCTCTTGAATGCCAGTCTCGTCCACCTGTAAAGAATAAAACAGAGCAGTCACATTATTTGTAAATAATCATACCTCTTCGCTATCAGATTCATCAGCTTCAACCTCCACGGTTTCTTTTCCCGTGTCTTTAGTGGTGGCGCTGGATGTCTCTGGGGCTTTGAATTTCTCGGCAGCCGCTATTTGGGCTTGATTACTTAAATCTTCAATCTAAGAAACGGAGTGTAATTAAGAAAGTGAAAAGAGAGGGCAACTTTGAAATAACAAAAAACAGTGTCGGCCAGATTCACTTGGCAATAAACGTAGACTTAAAATTCAAATTCAAAAATAACATACGATACATAATACATTATAACGATGAATAAATACATACAGGTGCATGTACATGTACAGCAACAGTTCTACAAGACCCAGTGTTAGAGAAATAATATTAATAAATGAATTATTATTATTATTATTAGAAAATGACTAAATAGATGATCAACTATCATCAACAAGATATAACTTGATATAACGAGATAATATTCAACGTCTATTACGTATAAAGCATGTACAACGAATCAAGTATTGAAAAGAAGTGCAAATGAATCCGCACCAATGTGTCATTCTTGGCACAGCGTAAATGAACAACGAATCAGGATAGTAAATAAATAATAATTGAAAAGCCATTCAAGTGACGCATTTCTTACTACACGCGGACAGATTGGTCTAAATTATAAAACAAATTTATTTTCCATGGCAACAAAAGGCATGAGGACGGCAGCAGGAGGGTGGGTGATTAGTAAAAGCATTCCACGAGGCAGCTGCAGCATTAGCAGGACAACATGAATTACATCATTTACATGCAAACTAAAGATTTTGTTCACAAATGCGTGTTTACACAAATGAACTAAGGCCTTGTTCACACAACTACACTAGCCTAATCTACGTCAATCTACATCTTTTTTTTGCTACGACTGTTTTCAGGTGTTTACACTAATCCAGCAGCTGCATTTTCATTAGAATTATCATTTGTTTATAGAAGTATCCGGTTTGTTCCTATTTTCTTGTGTTTTAGGCTAGGTTTACACAGCAACACTAAATGGTAAGATTCTATAAAGTTTTCATTTGTTTCCGTGTAAACAGAAGCATAAAACAGGCACAAAACTATTCGTTTTGCTGCTGTGTAAATGTAGCAATTTAGTGTAAACGACCCTAATTATTAGACCAAAAATAAAATATCTGTTTTGTAGTCGTGTAAACGTGGCCTATATGATGCTCAAGTCTCAGTTCTACTGTAGCCAAAAAAATTAAAAAGGTATTTAAGTGCATGCAAGTTCTTGTAAAAAAGATTTGTACTCGTGTTCCAAAGAACACAAAATTGGCAACAGACAAATAGTAAGCAGGATTAACTGTGCAACATCAGGAGAGGACTTTACCTTAGCTTCTCCGAAAACTATATATGTCTCTGAAGCAGGGCTCTTGAAGACTTCCGGCTTAGCAATAACAAATAAAATGTTCTTTGATTTCCTTATGGTGACTCTTGTTATTCCTGTTGTTTGTTTCAGCCCCAGCTTCACGATTGCCTTTCTTGCTTTCTTCTCACTTCTGCTTTGCTTGCTTTTGGAGGCTCCTTCAGGACCAGCTCCAGGGCCATCGTTCTCCTTTTGATCTCCATCACTGCTCTCAACATCACTGTCCTCGGACTCTTGTGGGGAGTCCTCTATCAGAGAAAGAGAGATTCATGTAACCTTCAGTAGCGTCTTTATCACATACATGTACACTCTGCTGTCTCATAATGAATTACTATTAATATTATGTACTCTTACTATAATGCAATGTAGTCAATTAACTTGTGGATACAGGAAATAAGTATATAGTACAATTGATCTTATAGCTGATAATAGGGGCTGTACTAATCAAGGTGAATCTGAATCAACTTTATACAAATCAGTGACTAGTTGTATGTATAGGCTGATTCGACATTTAATTAATAGTACATGTACATTGTAGAATGGTTTCACTAATGAGCTCGCACACCATTATACAATATAATGTACACTAGGCTTCATAGCCAGCCCAATGCACTGGGCCTCTATTCTCCAGGCATGACATACCCTCCATTGCTTCTACTTCTTGTACTTCTGTAGTCTCGGCATCAGCATCTGTGCTAGACTTGGGCCTTTAGTGTAAGAGAAAATAAAACAATGGATCATCAAAAAGACATTCAATCCTCAAGAATAAACACTTTAAAGAAAGAAGATGGCTTATAGTAGCTAGCTTACATAATGGATCTCTTGGCTTCCCCTCTCTTCTCTGCTGGAAAAATAAAATGGCGGACAGACTGATGTCCCAGCCTCCCAGGCTAATGATATGCGCATGCGCAGACAAAATGGGAGGAGACTATGAATAAATAATTATTATGCTTTTTTTTAATATTAACAAGCCAATGCAAGGTATTAATTAACTGCTAGGGCATCTTGTAATGAAAAATTAAATATGAAAATCTTGAATTCAACAGAAAACATTATGAGTCTATTCAATACACAAGTAACAACTCGTATTGCTACATTCATGTTGTTACACACACTTTGTATAGTAGGTAGTACTGCCTAGCAGTGAACAGTTTTAACTGTTAAATGATGACATTGTGACCCATCCAGGAGCCTATCCCAATCCCTCTCGTGCTGTATGACCTCAACTTCCACCCACTTCTCATAATTATCTTTCCAGGTTTCGCTCAGCTCCACTGGTTTGCCAAGGACACTGAGGTAATTCGTATCGGCCGGTCTCAACTCAACCCCAAACGGATTAGGGTTCCTCTGCCCCTCGTTGTCGTAATAAAATACATTGAACCGCTCGATTTGGTTTTTAAGCGTGAACTCCTCGGTCTGAAAGTCCCAGGGTTTGGCATCGAGATCATTACCAAAGGCCCAGTCGTCCTGGAAATGATGGCGGACATGTCTATATATCATCGATATGGTCCTCATATTGTTCTTCCTCCAATTCCTTCCCAGGTACTTGGCTTGGACTTTTAATAGCTTAAGTACGTATCGATGTACCAACGGGTGATGGACTTTAAGTGTACGCTTAAGAATAGGAGCAGATCGAAACACAACAAGCATGACGATACGGGAATGCTTCCATTTCGTTAGTTTCTGGAGGATTCGAACCACATTAATGCAAGAGAATAGATTACGCCAGCAATAGCTTGAGTCTGAGGGAAGTGCTTCAGGTATATCAACAGCAATGCTGGACTCTGGAGGAACTAGGACACAGTCTGGGAAATTGAGAGCAGGAAAATTGTTGCGTGCCGTGACGTATTGAGAAAGGTTTTGATTGAGGAACTTGAGTATCAGTGGGAGGCAGTTAGCAAAGACGAGATGCTGACTAACATACTCAAACTGGTAAATGTGATTGATCTTGAAATGCTTGAGGAGGAGAAAGAGAGTAGCAGAGATGGCCTTGACGATGATTTCCTTGTGTCTATTGATATCCAACGTGTTCTGAGCCGATTCAATCATGTTAGCTGGTGTATCGGAAGAAATGACATCAACAAAGATATTAACAGATTCACTGCGAGCTCTGGCAGCTGGAGCAGCAGCCAACAACACTTTTAAAATGGCTATCATATACTGAGGAAGGTTAGGCAATATCGATTTGTAGAGTCGCTCTGTGGGCGTGTCCCTTTCTTCAACTTCAACTGGTTTATTGAGAGACTGCAATCTCTCGTTTTCCTCCACTTTCTTAATTTGTACATCAGAGAGAGGGATGTAGACGTGTTGACGGAGTACTTTGATGCTCTCCTGAGTGGGGGCAGGGAGAGAGGATATGTCACAGGAGAGAGGATCGGACCCTGTTAGCCCGGGGGATTCGTAGCAGCCAAATTTAGAGCGACAGAGCTCAATGAAACCCTCAATGTCTTGCAGACGTGCTTTTGGACAGAAATCAAGTCCTTTCTGTTCGCCCCAATCGGTCACATTGTCCTGGTTTGATACCATCGAATGGGGTCGGCTCAATAAACCGGATAAAAGAGAAGAGTCCCTAGGAGGGGGAGGGGCATACCCTCGAGGGTCAAAGGCAGCAGTAGGGATCACAAGAGGCTGAGCTGGTTTCGTCTCGTCAAAAGTATGAGGGAGGCCAGCTTTAACTCTCGCTTCCTCTTTTAGCTCTTTAAGCTTCTCGACTCCTCCAAGTGAAGCTAGGATCGACTTCCATATGACCAGAAGGATCTTCCTCACTGGATAATGAGGCATGCTCCCATTACAAAAGTAAAGGAGCATCTGGAACAGAAACGACGTCAAGTTGTCCTCGCCGTGGACCGGGTTTCTCAAATCAATTAGAAACCTCTCCCGAAGTTGAGTCTCGGCCGGAAGATCGAATTTATCTTCTCGTCTAGCGACTTCGATCATCACATAAAGGACACTTAGAGTCACACGGAGCGAGACGTTATCAGCTATCGTGATTTTATTCTTTGTGTTCTCGTACTGATCCCGCTCTCTTTCCTTTTCGAGCGCAAGGAGTTGTACGACGGCCGGGAAAACCCCGGCCTCGATCATCAGCAAGACATTGGCTCGGGAGTATTGCGCAATATCTTGCTCATCCACGCCATACATGTAATTACCATGTGCGAGGTAGAGGAGGGAACGAGCTGCATCAAGACGCTCGGAATGAGATACAACTTCGCACTTCTCAATCAAGTAATAGAGGAGAGTTCTTTGCTGTGTTCGAGTGAGATTCAACCAGTTTGAGTGAGGGAACTTGAGGGAAAGGGTTTTATCAAAGGACTCTCGTGCCAGCTGGAACTCGTGGACTTCGGAATAGGCATAGAGCTCACTGAGCTCGTTAAATAGAGTATCAGAGTCGTCGTATGTGAAATTAAGATCAGGTACGTCGATAGAGGGATCTGAATCACGTCTTTGTCTGAAAGAGAAAGGGAGGAGTCAGAAAATTAGAGAAAAATAAAAACAAGTATAAAATAGTACATAAGGACATTACCTTCTTAGTACGTCCCTTAAACGCGGTAGACTACCTCCACCACCACCACCACCACCAGAAAACCCATCTGAGAGAGACATAATTGCGATTACACAAAGATCTAACTTTATTTTTTGATAGCTAAACCACACCTATAGCTCATTAATTTTAGATAGGCGTGGTCATATTTTACCAAGAAGGCGTGGTTTAAAATATTTCACTGGCGGCGCATTGCTTTTCTTATAAATAAAACCATACGGTACATAAAGAAAATAAGTTAGTGAGCCATGGCTGAAGCAAGAGGAGATAAAGGTTCCTCTAAAAAGATACTCTCTTTTGCAACAAAGAAAGCTAGAAGAGTACAGCAGAAGGTAAAGATAAGGCAAATATTACTACACACATTCCTAATGTACTGTAACACTAGCCCTACATGTAATGAAACCAAGTAATGTTAAATGACTACTCATGTATATACAGCATGTATTATATGTACATATTAATTAGTAACTCACTAGATTGAAGGCTGTTAATTGATTCTAAGTCTTCAAAACTTTTAAACGTGTTCAAGACATGTGCCTTCTCACTGTCTTTCCTCTATTTTTTTATTTTCTTGTTTCATGAGCTGTTGGGTGGCTGATGGAAAGCGTGTTTGTTTATAAATATTGTAATCGATCGTTATTCACGTGTCTTCTAGTGTATATGGAGCGCAAGGCTATGATCAACAAACTGAATCCATCTAATAGGTTTAGGCTATAATAATTTTTAGAATTTTATTTTAATTTTTACATCACATTTAGATATTCCCCTTAAGTAATGTTTAAGCTATGACTCTTATCGTAAAATTCACGGATTTAATGTGCCATCCATAAGTATTGGCCTGGGAATTTTACAAATTTTTTATTGTGTTATTTTTTATCATAATTTTCTTCATTATCATCACCATCATCATCATCATGAAAATAAAGTAGTTGAAATAATATATTAATGAAATAGTCATTGGGATAAATCATACTCTTTAGATGTTAGTCCTATGTACTGGTGCTTGAGGCCACGTTTACACAGCAACTAAAATGATGCAATCCGTATAGTTTTGTGCCTGTTTTATGCTTCTGTTTACACAGGAACGAATGAAAACGTGATAAAATCTTGATAGAACTCTATGGAAACGAAAACGGTGTTCAAAGTGGATACTTTAAAAACGATGCGTTTTGCGTTGCTGTGTAAACGTAGCCTGAGTTATGTGTCGTTAGTCTACTGTTGTTATTGTTTTCGTAATGTGTATTCTCCTAAGACTAATATTGTCTTGTTCTTCTGATAATTGTATGCATTACATTACATGATGTTTGTGGCCTCTTCACACATCATTTCTCATTCATTATTATACTGGGGTTGACTCCCTGTATCAAGTTTCCCCTTGCTCCTTCTGCTTCTCACATTTGTAATAGCTCTTTTTGGTCTCACCTCTTTTTAATAAGCAGCTATCTTGCCCTCTCCCCCCCCCCTCTCTCTCTCTCTCTCTCTTTTCCTCCTCTCTATCCTTTCTCTTGATTGTTAGCTTTTGAAACTGCTATCGTTTGCTCTGTTTTTCTATTGGTGAGTCTATACTGATATGTATAATGTAAATATAGTCATAATCAGCTTAAGCTCACATTTTAAGCTTATGTTGTGCTCTATATAAGCTGTCATGTACATTTATGTATGTGTACACATCTACCTGTTATCATACCATTCCAATTTTGGGATTGAAGATAGAAAAAGTATTTAATAATACCTATACATGTAATTGGAAATAGAGCATGTACATGTACATATACATTGTACATTTACTGTATGGTAGTCACCATTATTTGTTACCATAGTGGCTGGTTAGGGTGATTAGGGCTTCACCAATGGGCATCAGATTACACAAGTACTACTGTATGTACATGTAGAATGATGTATGTACTAGTAATGATCTCCTCTTGACTCAATGCTAGTACTATAATTGACAACAAGCCCACTTAAAAATGAATTTGTTACTCTAGAGTAAGGGAGTGTGTGTGTGTGTATACAGTAGGTGATTATTGTATGTACATGTACTCACTCTCTCTCTCTCTCTCTCTCTCTCTCTCTCTCTCTCTCTCTCTCTCTCTCTCTCTCCCGTAGCTATACATGTACATGTATACTTGCACTTCCATTCGTGTGTGTGTGTGTGTATGACAGTAAATAGATGTTAATGTTTATGTAAGTCTTATTAGTATTTTTGCATGTACAGTGTGGTAGCTCTTCATGCTTATTGTTTACACTATGTGCTTCTATTACACTGCATGTTGTGCATGTCCATGTGAATGTGCTTATTGTTTGTGATAATTCATGCACCATGCACTGTATGTGTGTTGGGTTGAGTATATTACAATTTTTGTTTAAAGATTATGGTTTACAAAATGAAGCATCATCATCTCATTTTTCTTCTTTTAACATGAGGAAACATAAAGAAGATAATGAGCATTGCATTTTGTGCTACAATAGCATTGAATTTGTCTAGTATGTGACTATGTGTGTACATGCACAAGTATAAGTAAATAAGTATTTGATGATAAATGCTGTATTGTGTTTCGATAGATGTTGCAAAAGGTTGGTCAGGCAGAGAAGACAACTGATGATAATTATACTGAATTTGTTGTGAATTTCAATAAACAACAGGTACTATATGTACATGTACTAGTTGTTCATGTACTTGTATATCTTATAAAATATATTTTTTATTGCTGTACTGCTGTGTTGTACTTTGTAGTTGGCAGCTTCAAGACTTCAAAAAGAATTGGCAAAGTATACTAATAATGCTAAAGGTAAGTGACAGAGGTGGTGGAGAGAGGGAGCCTAGTGTGTGTTTCTGTGCAGTTTTGAGTCACAGCACAAAGTCTTTCATGGATTTATGGCTTGAGCTGTATGAGCCGGAATGGAAAGGATACTCAGAAATGCAAAGTATTATTGAAGTAAGGCTAGCCGTGCCCTGTCTCTGTCTCCTCTCTGTCTCCCTCCCTCTCTCTCTCTGTCTCTCTCTCTCTCTCTCTCTCTCTCTCTCTCTCTCTCTCTCTCTCTCTCTCTCTCTCTCTCTCTCTCTCTCTCTCTCTCTCTCTCTCTCTCTCATTTTTTCTGATGCACACAGTATCTGATGATGATGATGTTTCACTTTTTGATTACTTATTTAGCAAAAAATGCTTTTGTGGGAAGACCTTCTTAAAAAAATTCAAAATGAAATGATGGAGCCTTTGCAATTGTACATGTCGAAATTCCCCGAGACAAAGGTACAGAGAGAGAGTGTGTGTATTAAAAGTACCGTAAATGTTCAAATAAAGGCCGGGCTTGAATAAACGCCTCGGACTAAGAATTTCCAAGTATAGATACGCATATTTTACTCAATATAAGTACCACAACCTTTAGAGTGTCCCAAATGGCCTAACTTGTTAAGCTGAGTGCATTGAGTTCCTGGTTAGAATCCCAGTTTTACTTTTTCTTTTTTTATTTTACGCAATTTTTTGTCCTGGGAAAGAAATAAACGCCCGGGCTTTTATTTGAACATTTACGGTAGATGTGAAAGAGGATCACACCGTACATGTATATTATTGTTATTGTATTAATTTGATTTTTTAGAAACTAGTGGAAAGAAGAGAGAGGAAGATAGTAGACTATGATTATGCCAAGAGAGAGTTAGAGGTACATTATAGATAATGTGTAGAGTACGTGTACATATGCAACTCCACAGTAAATTGATGAAGACATAGCCAATCCATTATTGTGTATTAATTCATATAGTGTCTTCTCTAGGCTGCAAGGCAGAATAAGAAGGTAACTGAAGTCAAGTTGCAGCAGTTTGAAGATACTTATCATAATGCTAAAGCAGCTTTTGATGAAGTAACTGATAAACTGTATGATGAGCTACCTACGTTATTTGACAGGTAACACCAGTTCAATAGCTGAAAGTTTTTTGTTGATGATTTGTGTATACTGTTGAATGGGAATATGAGGGAGTCATTAGGTCAATTATTATTTTTAAGTCTGTATGTACTAAAGGTGGAATTACTATATTTTGCTTGTCCTGATTGATGTCATGTGTGGAAAGTTTGAGGTGATTCCGACTTTAAATTTTCAAGTTATGGCCATTTTAAGAAAATGCCAAATTTCTGAAAAGTACCCAAGGCTATAGCCCATGGTTTTTTTCAAAAAATGGCTCCGAAATCACCCCCAATTTTTATTACATTTTCTGATACATATTGTTGTCCTTATGCTATGTAGAAAGTTTGAGGTGATTCCGACTTTAAATTTTCAAGTTATGGCCATTTTAAGAAAACGCCAAATTTCTGAAAAGTACCCAAGGCTATAGCCCATGGTTTTTTCCAAAAAATGGCTCCAAAATCATCCCCAATTTTTATTACATTTTCTGATACATATTGTTGTCCTTATGCTATGTAGAAAGTTTGAGGTGATTCCGACTTTAAATTTTCAAGTTATGGCCATTTTAAGAAAATGCCAAAATTTTGAAAAATACAAGGCTATAGCCCATGGTTTTTCAAAAATTTGCTCGGAAATCACCCCCAAATCTTGTTACATTTTTATGTCTTTATGCTTTTAAAGTTACATGAGCACTCTTAAAATTATGCTTTGGGCCCAGTTATACATGTACATGTATGAAAAGAGGGTGAGAATGATAGTAACAGTAGACTTGAATAGAATTGAAAATAAGAGAAGATTGGGCTATTAATTGTGTCAATGAGATACTATGTTAATTATAATAATGGGGTATATACAGACTGTTTACTGTAGACACAGTGATACACATTATAATAATAATTAATCTTTACTCTCTCTCTCTCTCTCTCTCCTTTTATAGCCGTATTGAGTTCTATGCTACTTTTTTCCGTAATATGTCCACAATTGAACTAAAATTCCACGAAGAAATGGCGAAGGTGAGTTTGTGGGTGTGTCTCCTTACATTATATCCCACGGTATCAACAAACAGTTGGACGAGTCGTACAATGAGACAATGAACCAGCTACACGAAGAGGCTGAGAGTGGAGTCCATACCAGCCGCAAGGAAAGAGTCTTAAATAGCGAATCGACTTTATCAAAGTGAGGATTAGAAATTTACATAAACTACATGTACATGTACATTTACATGTACATGTACATATTATGCTGATGTATGAACTGGTACTGCTTGGATTAATGTCAGGCTTTCATGGGGAATTGCAATAAGGAAAGAGTCAGACCATGTACTGATGAAGTTAATCTGTTAGGCTTTTGTATGGTTCATGTACATGTACATGTATATATATTTTTTAATTGGGTTTTCTTCGATTTAGTCTTAATCCTGTGAAGAATTCTCCAGTAGATGATGAGGCCAGCCTTCCATCAGATGATGCAGAAGAAGAAGGTGATAATCTCTCGGAAGCAGCTGCTAGCTCTCAAGGTCTGTTATAAGGACCATGAATACATGTAATACATGTTTGTGTACATGTATTGTCGTACCCACATTACATGAAGTTATGTAATAGTTTAATAGATACATATACGTGTACATAATACATGATAATTCATACATTGTTCATGTACGTACATGTACATGTATGTATATCACTTTGGGATGCTCGCCTTTTTATTTTTGAATATTCAAAACAATAAGTATGTGTTGCTACTGACACCTCAGCTCTGTTATTTGATGGAATGTATCAATTTTATTCATCACTGATTTATTAATTAATCACGATTGGGTGTACGTGTATGTGTATTATTTCTATTAATAGCACTAGTGTAAGGTTTACTAATGTCTATATGTGTGTCCTATCATGTTTTGCTCCATGGACTTTGGACCTCTTACAATAGAGTAGGGGATGTATCAGCAGAACTGACCTTATTCATTGCGTTTGGGATAGCACCGGTTTCTTGCTTATACACACGGTCTATCATTCATTGTTCTGCTGCCTATGGTCGTCGGGGGTGATCGGGACAATCACCTCAACAAATGAACCAACCAGTTCATCACTTAGACCAACCATCCAATTAATACTAATAGCCATACATAAAGCATGATATTGTAGTCTACTAGTATGGTGTACATAAATTTAAAAGGAACAATATTAGTCTCCAACCACCTCTAATTTTTTTCTAGGCAGAACCCTTTATCATGACATATATATACACTGTTTATGTATTGTTGCTTTTCCTGTTTCTTTGATCATTATTAACATGCAGAGATGTGTATGGAAATTTGTGTCATTGAGATTCAAAACTAATGTGTTATCTTAATTGTCATCATTCTACATTAAAACTGTGTACATGTACATGTAAGTAGATTCAATTGCCTCTTCATATTTCAATCTCCTCATTATCAAACACATTATAGTCCTAGCCTATTAGATACTGCCACCAATCATTGCTTTCCTTACTAGCTGGTGTGCTGATTGGTGACTCCATTAATACCACAAGGGCACTCTCTTTAGTACCCTCCATTAATGTACAGCCCCACATTAACACTCTAACCATACATAGCAATCAATCATGTTCTATAGTTTATTTTCCAAGTGTGAATGTCATGAGTATATTAATGGTTTTGTTATTGAGTGTTGTTTACCCGATCCTTGTTCCATTACATGTACATGTATACATGTACAAGCATGTACTTCTCTATCATAAATAATTTTTAAGAGATTAAAGGAAGGAAGATACAATGAATTGAATTATTGTAGATTTTTCCCATCTTATATTTGTGCACATTAAGCAACATGTCAATACTCAATGCTTCTACAGTATAGTGCTCTAGCTAGTGAATGTACAGTATATTGCAATGGTTGTTATTATTATAATCTTTCATTGCTTTTAGGTGGCGGTGATGAACCTGGTCTTAGTAGAACGTCATCAGGAAAAGTAAGTATAAGTTATTTTAAATATAATCATTACACACTGTCAGGAATGACAATGTTAATTATCAGCATAAGATAATAGTTGACTGGGTGGGTGCATACATGTAGATGGATATTAACTGATTAAACTCAGGCATGCATTAAGATATTATATGTATATGTACAAGTGGTTTTGCTATGTTAGCATTGACCCTTCTCACCACCTCCGCCCCTCTCTCACTCTCCTTATATCCTATCCTGTTCTACTTGGAATCTCATCGTTTGACCATGCGCTCTCATACTGATGAGTCATGTAATAACAGTCTTTGTCTTTGTCATGAATTGCTTCGTGCAACATGTGACTGGTTGATATTGTTTGATCTTGCTTCGGATGTTTTTTTGTGTGTGGCTTTGCTGTCATGGAGAGGTCAGGGAAAGCGGACATTTCTTTAATCAAGTTACGCGATTCCAATGAATTTTTTTGATATTGACCGTGAATATTTTAATTCATAGTCTGATCGACTGGTGGGGTCAACTTAATAAGAATGCCATCTCGATGAATAATTGTTAATGTCATGCGATTGGGAATGAGGGACTATAATGCTATGCTCGTCATGTACTATTGTACGCCTATTCATTGATAACCAATCGCTCTCTCTCTCACTATTTGTGACTAACCTATTTCCTCTATGTGTGTGTGTGTGTGTGTGTGTGTGTGTGTGTGTGTTCTCACGTGTGTATCAGTACTTCTGGTTATTATTAGACTAGCTTCCGCAATCTTCTCATTGATTGTTTAAGGTCATGATTTTCAGTCATACAGACCTTATGTGCATCATGCTTTAAGATGGCTGGCAATTAGTCAATTAAGTCATTTAAATATTAATGTCATTTGTACCTGTTGTACATGTACACGATACACTTGATGATGTTTTATTTATGCATAATATCTTAGATGTAAGGGAATGCTCACTAGCCTGCAGCATTTGAGGTGTGAGCCTGCAGGGATACATACATGTACATGTACATGTATGATACATACATGTACATGTACATGCATGGATAATACATGTCTAATTAAACACTTCTTTGACCTTATCAACGATTCATACAGAGGGCGGGTCTGATCCATTCATATTTTAGGTTTTTAGCACTTTGACACATTTTATGTACTTTTGACTTAATTGAATAGTTACAGTACTGTATAGATGGCATGTACATGTATATTGACCATTACTATGGATACATGTACTGACACTGGCAAAGTACTGTATAGTATTTAGGCTGTATAGATCCCTCCTTATTTGGAACTTGTAAATGTGTTATCAATTAATGATCTTAGCATGTCTCCATCTAATTGTACATGTACATGTGCATGTATACAGCTAAGTGAATGCAGGTATAATATAAATTTGCTGTTTATGTGTATTTTGTCAATTGCTACTTGTTGCATCATGCATATATACTGTTGTGAATTCGCTATGATACAATGTAGTTCTTTATACGGCAATTGTGTCTGTTTTTACATGTACGTGTTGTTTTGTATGAGGCGTCTCCATGGGTTGTGAAAATATTATTAGGAAATTCATTCTCTTTTTTTACTGATATTCATTGCTATGGAATTCTTTTGAATTACATTTTTTGCGTAAACAAACCCAGTTGTCTATGTTTTTTATTTTATACTTACTAGGACACGCCAACAAGAAAGCATTCGTCAAAGTAATTATTAAAATGATTTTAGAATGACTTTCTCTTTATTTGTCATTTTACTTCATATCCACACAGCAAGCCTCCACCCAGTAAGCCGGCGAGATCTGATAGCACTTTATCTGATGAGGTACTTATGGTGCATGTACTATAGCATTTCATTTAACGTTGTCTGTTCTTTCATTCCTTACAGAACAAAGAAAGAAGGGAGAGTGCTAGTAGCTCAAAGGAGAAAGAGCTTCCGTTAAAACCGGAGGACAAAGACCCTCCTCCGAAACCCGAGGACAAAGACCCTCCTCCGAAACCCGAGAAACCTCCTCTTGAAGAACCCACTGACGATACCAAAGATGTGAGCGTTATTGAGGATGCTCCTCCCACTAATGAGGAGAGAGGGGAGACTGAGGAGGGGGACAAGGAGATAGAGCCTGAGGTGTCTAAAGAGCCACAGGATCAAGTTGAAGAAGAAGGAGAGGACAATAGAGATGAGAGAGAGCAGCAACAACAGGAGACAAACGAGACTCAGAAAGAAGAAGAAGATAAAAAAGAAGATCCAGTCCCTGAAGAAGGAAAAGAGGATGACACTCCTCCAGCACCTGATGCTCCTCAGAATGATCAGAGTCCCAACGTTTTATTTAAGGTAAAGAGTCATAATACTTCTGAATATAGTGAGCCAATTTAGCTATTATGCTTATCTATGTGTACACGTATGTTATTTTAATTTTTAATGAGTATAATTTTTTTAGGTAACGTCTCGTCATCCTTATACTGGGGAAGATGAAGATGAACTGACATTTGACAAAGGAGTGGTTATCCATGTCATACCATATGATAACCCTGATGATGAGGTACAGTAGCTTAGTATGAGATACACCTAGTATAAATTCATATTACATATGCGTATGGGGTGTTGCTAATTTTTATTCTGAACTTAAATTTCACCAAAATAAGACTGGCTGTGTACGCCGAGAATTAGTCAGCCGAAATTACGAATGAATATTTTTTTGGACGGCATGCGATTGCACTTTGTTTTTGCCGCAGTTTATAGCAACATTCATTTGTTGCAATTTTTTGTGTGCACATCCTTTACTTGTGTCCTCCTTTCCTAATGTTATAGGAGGATGGCTGGTTGATGGGCTTTATACCTGGAACTACAGCAAGAGGAATATTTCCTGAGAATTTCACAGAACGTCTAAATGACTGATATTTTAACAATAATTTTTAGATAAGCATGAACAGCAACATTAATAATTTCAATATTAATAGTGTGTGTGTGTGTGTGTGTCTTTAATGTTATATATATTTGTCCAGCACACGTCTACATTTGCACGTTGTTGCATTCACATATTCAAAGTTGATCAGCTCCCACTTTGCACCATTGTCACATGTAGCATTGAAATTTGTGTGACGGACTACTTTGTATACACCGTCAGAATTTGGTAGGGGCACACAGTTCCGAATTCTCAGCTTCCCTGGTGAAACGTAAGCATAGTGGAAGGAAGCGCAGCTCCCTGTGCAATATGCTCTGTACTCGTTTTCAATGTGGATGGTGAGCCTCTTGCCACTGCAGTTTCCTTCAACTGTTCCAAATAAGTTAATGTCGTGGAGGTCTTTATGGGTGGAAATGGAGCAACCTTGCTGGCTGAGTGGTACGATAGCTAGGATAAAGCAGAGACACGGCAATAGTACAAGTATTTTTTTCTGCATGACGAAAATTTGCAGTCTTAAGTTGCTCTGGCTTGCCTTAGCTTTTATAGACTGCATCACGTGTTGTACCACGTGGCTCTAGAGTCTATAAAAGGTTTTGCTTGGCTACGGAGCATAATTTCGTAATCGTAAAAACCATGGCACTTCTCCTCAATCTCCTGGTATTTATTTATCTCTTTACTTCCAGCAGTGCCTCTTGTTCTTGCTCGACTCCACAGACTTCTAGATTTACGGCCAAAGTTGATAATGCTCGCCAAACACTTCTTAGTGGTACGCTTCCTGATGGAGTAACTCTTGACGAAAACAAAGATGTCTACTGCACATGGCAAGGATACAAGAATTGCTGTGGAGCCGCAACAGAAAAATGTCACATCAAAGCAAACTACGTTTCTGAAGACTTCCCCCATAAAAACCTTCACTTTAAAGGGGACGACGATAATGCCGGCTATCAGATTGAAACTTGCGTAGCAGCCAGTACGCAATCTGTCACTAAAACCGTCAGTTGCTTTTATGTTGGATCAAGCACTCCTATTTCTGGTCTTGATTCTGTTCAAATGAATGTGAAAGAACCAGTATCATGCAGTTTTGAAACAGTTACCCTATCAGAATTAGAAATGGATATTGCCAGTGATAACTTGAACAATCGCTACATTAACAAGCAATCTTCAATTACAGTAATAAACCACTAATGCTTTGTGCATGCTTGCTGCTAAGGGAACATTTATCCATTATTTCTCATGTTGTTTTGTGTAATTAATGCTAACAATAGTTATTCTTTACACTAATAAACACTGTTAATTATAAATACTATTAATTGTTCTATTAAAATTCATGACAGCTCATAGATCTGCTACACGTGCTTGCACGTGGATATAGATTTAGAACGTGGGTGTGAATCATAGGGTGTGGTTTCTGCTAGGGTTTAGTTTAACGTTTACGTCTACCGGTATCTAGTAACTTGTAATGATGTCTGGTTTGTGTCACTGTAAAATTGGTCCATCTATACTTAACGCTGACTTATCATGTCTTGCCTCCGAGTCACAGAAAATGTTGGATAATGGGGCGGATTACTTGCACCTGGATGTCATGGACGGGTGAGAAAAAGAACCTAAAATAGATTTAGGTTTTTTGCTGTGTGTATTACATATATGTATATTATACATATTGCATGTCATTAATATTATAACAGGTTTTATTTTTTTATTGTAGTCATTTTGTGCCTAACCTAACTTTTGGTGCCCCTCTAGTCCAGTGTCTACGCAAGCACATTCCTCACGCATTTTTTGGTAAGTAAGAGAGAGATTGGCAGCAAGTTCAATGATATACATTTGACCAATAATTACACTGCCTTACATGCTTTTGGAATTAACTTGATAGCATTCATACTTAACGCTGTGGTGCATGGTATTTATCATAATTACATAGCCTAATATTGTGTAATACAAGAGTATTTATTCATTTTGGTGAATTTTCAGTGGTAAGTAATTGGTGAATTTTATGTTGGTGATTTTGTGTATCAAAATTAACTCAAACTACTGTCTACTGTTACAAGATTGTATAATTATTGACATGCTAAAACACATCTCTCAATCAATTAATTCCTTTTCTTTCAATTTTCTCCATAGACCTCCATATGATGGTTGCTCAACCTGAAAAGGTACAGAAAGGATAGGCAGATGAGAGAAAGAAATGAGAGAGAGAGAGAATTTTGAGTAATTTTTTTTCTGTAGTGGGTTAAAGATATGGCTGAAGCTGGTGCAGATCAATATACTTTTCATTTGGAAGCAACAAGTCAGTAAAAATATTAGAAAATGAATAATTTTATAGTTATTGTATTTTTGCTAAAAAATTATCTTCAGTATGCTATGTGTCTTTATTATCAGAAAGTAGTATGGGTTTTGTTTGGGTCAGCAGTCCTTTATCAGAGAATAATCACTATAACCTCTCTCACACACACACTCACTAGGTGATCCTGAGAGTTTGATAAAGCAGATTAGAGAAGCAGGAATGAAGGTGACCCTGCACTATAGAGTACATTGTCTTTGGCCAAATTTTGCCAAAATCGAAAAAGAGAGAATTCTCTATTTTATTGCATATACATGTACTTATGTTGCATAAAAAGTTTGATTAGATTCCATTCAAAATTGGATTTTTTACAAATTGCTCAAGTTGCTCAAAAATAAGGCCAAAGGCCCTATCTAATGATTCAGACCTGAATTCTTTAACTTTGAATATTGCCCTCAATTCTAATCTTTATCCTTTTAATTTTTTATTTGACCTTTTTATATTTTATAGGTTGGAATCGGTATTAAGCCAAACACCCCAGTTGAAGATGTACTGCCATTTGTTGATAAGGTAGACATGGTCCTTATTATGACTGTGGAGCCAGGCTTTGGAGGACAGAAGTTTATGTCTAACATGATGCCTAAAGTACACAAGGAGATTTAAAAGCATTTTCGACGTGTCCTTAGGTTAAATGTCTGAGAGAGAAGTATCCAAGATTAGACATTGAAGTTGATGGAGGGGTCGGATTATCGACTATAGAAGAAGTTGCTAAAGTTAGTTCATTTTGAATTGAATGAAAATCAATGGTCATGCAACTGAATTAATGTACTAATAACTTGAACTGAAAGGTGATAATAAGAACATGTGTATGATTAGAAATTGAGAAACCATAGATTTCTATTAAGAGTAAATCAATCTATTCTGGGTATTACCAAGAGTAGATACTGTATAGCGGGAAATTTTTGAGGGAGTTAAATTTGGCAAATCGCTAAATTTTAGTGATTGTTGAATTGTAATTTGGCGAATTTGTGGCCACATGCCATTGAGCATGCGTATAATGGCTCAAAATGGTGGATTTTTATTTTGGCGAATGGCTATCAAAACGTCAAATTTAATTCCCTCTGAAATTTCCCACTCTATGGTATTACACTAGAACTAATACTGTTACTATTGCCCCATGTCTACTCCTCTCTCTCTCTCTCTCTCTAGGCTGGAGCCAATATGATAGTGTCAGGTAGTGCAATCGTAAAGAGCAGTGATCCTAAGAGTGTCATAGACCAGCTCAGAGCAGCTGTAAATAAATGGGCTATCAAAGAATCCCCGCCATGAGAACTCTCTCATTTTCTTCATTTTTAAAAATTATAAATTGGAGACTCTTTTTAAGGATTTTTTTAGCAATTAATGTTAGTTATGATTCAGTCATGTACCATTCTGGCAAATCCTCTTCATCAGTTTCTGGTAGCTTGTGGGAGTATCCGTAATCACAGGTCAACTCGTTTCCTTTGGAAACCTCTTTTATAGTTCGTATGCACTTTATATGTCCGAATCGAGGATGCACAAAATGATCATACTCGCAATTTGGAGCACTTGAATGATTAGCTTTGTGTCCAAGGCTGGCAACGTAAGCATCAAGAGATGAGTATTTGAGAGGGACGTCAAGGACCATACTTTCATCTAAAGTTATTGTATTTGCGTTGAGCGACCAGTCCCTTGAGTCTACCTCATCGTGCGTGAGTCTTAGCCCATTATAAAATGAGACTGTTTCTCCTTCAGCTAGTTCAGTTTTAGCAAAGAGACCCTCTCCTTTATCGGGATTGTCGCTGCAAGTTGACACATATACTTTACTCTGCTCATAAGCATCAGGTGTTAAAGGATTGCAGCTAATACAAGTGCTAGTGGACTCGTCTAGTTTGAGTGTAGTCTTGCTCCAGTTTTCGTCCAGTGCATACTTTGCTGGGGTCTGATCTACGCTTGTTAGCAATAAAGCTGGCCTTGCACACACCATATCACTGTTGCTAAACCGACCCAATAATGCCGAGCGTTTGTCTGGATATACGTATGCTATTCCAGGACCAGTCAGCTCTCCTGTGTCTCTGTTCACTTCTCCCATCAAAATCCCGCCATATTCATCAAATATTTGCAAGAAGCCGAAGCGTCTATCTTCCCTGTGCTCGCCTTTGGCCATGACGTCCCCAGTTTCGCTGTACTCTGTAAATGGACCGTCCAACTCTCCATTGACGTATTGTGCTATCATTAGTCTTCCATCTGGGTAAGTGTAAGTTCCCTCACCGTGTAGTTCATCTGATCTGAATGTCCCTGATAGACTGCTACCATCTTTAAAGTAAAAACAGCCCCGTCCTTGTTTCATTCCACTACAGAACCGACCCTCGAATCTCCTGCTTGACTTCAACCATTTCAATGTCCCACGACCATTGGGATTACCTTCTGCATCTCTCTGGCCTACATAAAGAGGCTCTTCCTCTTCTTCTATTTCTTCATTTTCTTCTTCCATTATTTCAACTGCCACACCTCCAACATGGTTGCAGCAGCATGGTAATTAATAAAAATAACAAAAGGGTGTGGTCTCATTTTTATTAGCTGCGCCACACCACCCACGTGTAGTACAGTGTGGCAGTGTGTACTATACTGTGTATGTGTACATGTATTACAGTCGGGCAGCCAAGCAACCGGAAGTCCATATAAATTGTGTATAAACCTATTTCTCGTTCATTGAGCAACTGCGTGGGTGGTAGCGTACATAGATAGATGAAAACTTGGATAGAATCAGAGAACTATCACAGCAATGGACTTGCCACAATGAGAGATAAAGTGCTTGATCAATAGAGCACATCATTTATGAAAACAGCAAAGCTATGCTGTTTTATGGGAAACTTACAGCTAATTTTGAACACAATAATAGAGGATATGCGTGCTAAGTATATTCATAGCTTTTTAGTACCGTATATCCAACCCACACAGTAAATTGGCCGCCATGTTGGACGTCAAGTTTATTAAGAGTTCAATGGGGGAAAACACATTTTCTTGCCTTGCTACCTTCTTGAGGCCTTTTTCGGAAGCTTAGAAAGCATCCTGAGAATCCAATGGGGTCTAGTAGTCAGCTGAAAGATTGCTATCAAGAAATACAGAGCGGTTTCCTGGTACCAAGCCTTTTTCTATCTTTTCTCCATTGCTACCAATAGAAAGTTGACGTCCAACGAACTTATTTTTTTTCTTGAAAGTTATTACGGTATGCAATGAATACATTTATTTTGCAATGAATATACTTAGCACGCATATCCTCTTCCCTCACAAGGAATACTTGTAAGACAACAATTACCTTGTAAAGATACCTTTTAAGTACCACATACCAAAATTTCATGATTGCACTCTAAAGAATACTGAAGTTACAATTTTTTTATTGTTAAGTATAATTAAATTAATTAAAATTTATTATAAAAATTGTAATAAATCATGATATCTTTATCCAGGAAGAAAATAATTGGGATCAAAGTCTATATCCTCACAATAACCTTTGTCTATAATGCCAAAATAGGCAACCAGATACTTAACACAGTTCATGGAGTACAAATATGAACAAAAATTGCGGCTCTCATGAAATCTCAAGATATCTTCCAAATACAGATATAAAGAAAGTTGAAAACCACTGCAATAGCTACAATTTACATATATATCAATAATTACAAGCTATACTCATGGATACAACAATGCTAAACACACACAAACACATAGCTAGGCTACTTGCTGGGACCTTTAATACCTTAGAAAAATTTTCCCTTTTCTCCTAGAGCAATGAAACTTTTGCAGAATAACAGGCATATATAATACTAATAAGCTACCTTGTAAGTGTGATTGCATTCACTCTATTTTACAAGTTATAGAATTTAGTATGATTTTTGTGTCAGCCATTTTAAATCCTTACAGTGGAAACAAGCACCTGAAACACAAACAGTTCTTGGTTATAAATGTAGAAGATCAGTTATCTACATCTTTATCCAATGCTAAAGGTGCAGAGAACAGCAAAGTAACTGTAGACTTCTTAGTTTTGACATAAACAATCAAAATAGGCAAGTGGCACTACCACACTAAAAGTCAGCCATTTTGAGAAAAACGTCACTTCCGGTCAGAAATAAGAAATCAGGCTTGGCTGCCCGACTGTTAGAAGAAATGTCAAATTTTGTTCATCAAATTGTCAAGAAGACATCGAATAGAATTGGCTTTCCTCTTGGCCAGTTATGTGCCTTAATCAGTGGACCCAAGCTTCCTCCTAGAACCCCAGCACTAGCTACTGTATGTACACCTACTGCACCTAGATCTAGTGGTGATACCAGTTGGGGATTTACTGGTGAGGATGGGTTTCTCTCTTCCATATTGTGGGCAGTCCCAAAGAAGAGGGTTTCGCGTCACAAGAAACGTCTTCGTATGCAGTCAAAGTGGCTGAGACCGATACAGAACTACATGCCCTGTCCGAAATGTGGAAACCCAAAGTTACTCCACGTCCTTTGTGGGACATGTTTCAGGAGAACGATGCGAAAGACTGCCGAGTATAGAAAGAAAAATGTAGGGACACTTTATTCAAAATTTAAGAAAGGCGTTGGATTCTGAACAGCGTATATTAACTAATATAGTCCTTTTTCCTCTCTCATTCTGTTTGCTCTTTCACTTCCTCTCTCTCTCTACTACTACAAATTAAAAGTACAAATTACTTTAAATACCATCTAGGGAGTTATATATTAACTTATTAAATAGATAGTAAATTGATCAGTACCCACCTACTCATTATGGACAAATTCTTGATGGCGATGGTTGATCGGGCTGTGTCTCTTCTCGTATTTCTTTTCATATGTCAAAGTGTAAATGGCCAGAACGACCACTGCCAAGCTACAAGCTGTATTAATAATTGTTTTTATCCTCCTAGCTGTGTGGTGACTCCTCTTAGCAAGTACAGCTATAATTATGTGTGTCAAGCATCTTCACAGTGTCAGAGTTCTTCAGTACCTTCTGGCAGCAGCTATGGATATTTTTGTTTTGTATCTCTAAATATAATGAAAGGCAACATTGTCACCTTTATTTCAACTAGACTGACGTATCCTAGTAACTCTTGTTTGACAGGATTCCAGAGCTGCTCACCAAATATTGTAATGGAAGTCTCTTCATTTGATGTGACAAATTCTGTCCGGTGCAGTTGCTTTGAAGAAAATTGTCAAAGTATGATCAATGTCACTCTCTTCATTGATCCTCCAGATGAAGCAGAAAATGCACCAAGTAGTTTTCATGTCACAGATCAAATAACCAGTTCCATTGAACCATCCCTCAGTATGATTCCTAGTACAGTACCTGCTCCTTCAAATACTCTGAGATCTCATTCATTTGATGAGTCTACAGGGACCATTAGATCAGTTACTGGATTTACAACCAGTCTGACATCAATTGAACATTCTTCCAGTCGCATTATATCATCAATTCCACAATCTACTAATAGTTTGACATCAGTTTCTACAAGGAGCAGTACAGAATCAGTTCTTGTTCCATCTTCAACAGTTACTAGTACAGCAGCAGTTACAATTGGCCTGGCTTGTAAGTGAAAATAAAAGTTGAAATATAATATTCATTTTACTCTTTTTTCTCTAAATCTCTTTATAGCTGGTATCAGTATATTGGCACTAATGATTGCTCTCATTGCGGTTGTAATGATGTTAATTCTTGCTTACTCCTGGCGCAAGCATTCACCCAAATTTCACCGTTGCTCTCATCAGATACAATTTTCTTCCGAGACTTCTACCATCATTGAGCTAGATGAAGAACCAGGTCTACCTCCATTTCAACTCATTCAGTCTATCGGTAATGGCAGGTTCGGCTCTGTCTGGAAAGCTTTGTATGAGAAAGAGACCGTGGCTGTCAGAGTCTTCTCCCAACGACACAGAACCTCTTGGCAAAACGAGAGGGACATACATCTTCTCAATTCTACTCCTCACGAAAACATACTCAAGTTTATATCCAGTGAAAGCCGTGGTCGTGGTCCTAGTTCAGAGTACTTCATCATAACAGAATACCTTCCATTAGGATCACTCCACCAATTCTTGCGTCATAATACCCTCTCTTGGGAACAAGCATGGAACATCATGTACTCCATCACCAGTGGCATCACTCACCTACACTCCAGCAGCTATTACTCCAATGGCTTGTTGGCAGATAAATTCTCAATAGCCCACAGAGACATTAAGCCCAGTAATATACTGGTTAAGAGTCCCTCTGGTCAGTGTGTTGTTGCTGATTTCGGTCAAGCTTTTGTCCTAGACCCAGCTGCTGATGATAGAAAACTAGCAGTCTCTGGACAGGTAATGTGATATGGCAAGTAGCTAATAGTTGCAATTTTACAAGCATTCTTTTGTAATCTGACAATTTGTTTTTATTCATTTGCTACCTGTTACTAGTACACGTCAATAACAGCTTGTGTGAGTGTGTGTGTGTGAGTGACATTGTTTTCAGTGTTGTGCATCGTCTTCCTGGAGTTTCTAGAGGATTGTGAGTGAATGGAATTGTTTGTTTAATGATCCAATACACACATGCTAGACTTTACCATCTGCTTCATTCAAGCATTGGCTGGCATTTCATTTGATGTGTCCAAGTCATTCTTGGCAGCCCATTTTTATTTACTTGCCTCAAGTTACCTTTGAACTTGCATAACGTACTATTAGTATAATTAGTGATTGTTAGAGTACTGGTAACTTGATACTTTTAGTTGTTTGCAAATTTTTTTGCCATAAGACTAATTATACTAATTAGAGTTGTTTTTTCGCTCTGTTTGGAAATGCTAATGACCATGTAAACTTAAAAGTTCTAAACTCACTCACTTATGAAGCCTTTGCATACACCACCTGCGCAGTTATTTCAAGTGTTGGTTTATGTACATACACATGTGCTTCATTCTCAATGTATATATGTTAGTGTAGGAGGTGATAAACATGTCCGGTGGTGTTTTAGCCATAGCTTTGTCTATCTAATCTACCTGATTAGACTCTTCTGATTGGAAGGAGTCAATCTTGCATCAACATATTGACCAATCCTTTCATTGCATCAATAAGTATAAATATTTGTATTTTAAAATAGTTGTGACTATACGATCCTCATTTCCCCTCCCCCCTCTCTCCCCCCCCTCTATAGGTTGGTACTTATCGCTACATGTCACCAGAAGCGTTAGATGCTCGTGTTAATTTGAGAGACTCTGAGTCCTTCAAACAAATTGATGTGTATGCAATGTCACTGGTACTGTGGGAAGTGTGTATGAGGTACCAGTCCAATGATGGTAAGGGCATGCATAATAGGATATAGAGCAATCGACAAAATATTAATGTAATTTGAATAGGCACGAGCTCATATTTGTAATTAATTTGTGGGCCAATGATTAATTATTTAGGGTTTTTTGTTATGTCTTTGGTCTGTCTCTGATGCCCTTGAGTGTGTGGGGTTTCTCTACTTGTATTATGTGCATAAGACTAATCAGTGCTTTACTGGTATTCCATAGAAATCGATTTATTGAATTCTGAGGTTTAGCGATACCGACTTTGTTTATTATCACTCTTCGTGATAGTGTACACCTGGCCCGGGCTATATAATATTATATAAACTAGATTTCATTGTACTTAGTTCTTTTTGATGATTGAGCAATAACCAAATGCAATACTTGGATTGTAATTCTTGCCACTTGCATAACTCAGGAAGTTAGCCTTTCACTTTCTGTAAATATTGTACCTTTTCATTCAGTCACTATGTCTCTATTGATCAATAGACTTTAAAGTGGGAATCTTTAATTTCAGATACTTGTGTATACTTGTTTAATTTTTTCTCTCTCTCTCCCTCTCTCTCTCTCCCTCTCTCTCCATTCTTATTCTCCACAGTCCCTGTTCCTCCATACCAGTCTCCTTTCTTTGATATGGTTGGTGAGAAGCCAACGCTTGACCAAATGAAGGAGATTGTGGTCATTAATAAGCAAAGACCGCTCCTTCCTGAAAAATGGAATAATGACAAGGTATAAAATATATTTATCCGTCCCTGCCCTTGTAAAGGTGTGGAAGGGCAGCGACATGTTTTGTGGGTAATTTTTTTAAATATATTTTATTGATCAACAGGAGTGCCTATCTGTTTATAGTAAACATGGGAGAGGGAGGGAGAGGAAGGGAGGGAGAGATTGCTCAATTTGTTTTGCTGTACAGCTGCAATTAGCTTTTTTTAACAAACTCTCTTTGAACATTATTTAGAATTTAAAACGGATCATAAAGCTCATAGTAGAAGGCTGGGATGAAGACCCAGAGGCTAGACTGACGGCTGCTAACATCAAGATACAGCTGGAGAGCCTCGTCGGAATGAGACCTAAGCCTCCACCTTCTTCTACATCTCAGCCAGATGGACGAAACAATTTCTTGTCTCCAATCTTAGAGTCAAGCGAATCCTCTTGTAAAAAGTATCGATTGAGCTCCTCGTTCTCTGAGTCCTCAGGAAATGCTGTTATATTCTCAAATCCTTCATCAAAACTTTCCGGAAGGTTTTCAGTAGATCATACAAACAACGCATCGTCTCACAGGACAATACTCAATGATTTACGTCGCTACAGAGACGGGATCGGACTCTCGAATAATATTAGTACCACTACTACTGATAGTACACAACCTAATGGAGCCTATACTGGAGGAGGTAGTAGGGATGAAGTATCAAGTTCAGAGTCACAAGACGAAGTCAATGTTGTTGATGTTACTACAGGACAGCCAAAGAGTCACTGATAGCTGTACTTATTGGAACGTTACAATTCACTCATATTTATTTTTATCCCAAATACCATGCAATGATATTGTGACATGCATAATCTATTTAGTGTGTCCATGATTGGGCCACACTTTAAATGAGATATGATATGACATTTGTATGTATGTATACCCTCCTCCTACTATTTTACCCTTTTTAATTTTATTAGCCACAATTATTGTAATTGTATTTTGATTTCCAATTATTTTTTATTGGTCCAACCCATCCTATTTATATGAGGAGGAGTTTGGAAATGGTCGCTGTTCTTCGAGTTGTTCTCTGTTTTTGTCTTTTATCTACTATTGTGACTGCTTTTCAGTGTCGAGTAAATAGTTGTATAAGATGCTCTAGTTCTTCTCCTGTTGATTGTACAGTGACTCCTGTTGATCAATACAGTTATAACTATTACTGTGAAGCTCCCTCACACTGTACCCCTCAAAATGTACCTGGTTCAAACCGGGATGGATATTACTGTTATGCTTCTCTTTTTATAAGGAACTTAAATTCAACAGATTTTGATGGACATTGGTTTAGTTTTTTTCAGGTTGAATCTTGTGAAGAAGCAGCTGGCTCTGAATTGACAGATGATTGTTTGAGTATCACCAAGAGAGTGTCTTCATTGGAAGGAACTAACATATTCTGTCGTTGTACAGAAGATAACTGTCAAGATATATTTAATGTCACCATAATTATTGATCCACCAAATGATGTTAGTAGCTCTACTCTCATTAATGGAGTCATAACCAGTTCACCTTCTCCTCCATCAGTTTATTCGTCAGTACCTTTGTCTCTATCTTTATCCTCATCTACAATTGATCTGACTACTAGCTCAGTCTCATTTTCTATAAATACATCTCCTACTCTAATAACTGTTACTAATACTCACACGACTGGTATATTAACTACATCATCTGTTGTTCCTAGTAGTACAGGGGTCATTCCATCAACCGATACAATGGTGACAATTATTCTTTCTTGTAAGTCAATCAAGTGTTATAAATGATGATACTTTATATTATCTCTCTCTCTCTCTCTCTCTCTCTCTCTCTCTCTCTCTCTCTCTCTCTCTCTCTCTCTCTCTCTCTCTCTCTCCCTCTCTCTCTCTCTCTCTCTCTTTCTCCCTCTCTCTCTCCCTCTCTCTCTCTCCCCCCCTCTCTCTCTCCCTCTCTCTCTCTCCCTCTCTCTCCCCCCCTCTCTCTCTCCCTCTCTCTCTCTCCCTCTCTCTCTCTCCCTCTCTCTCTCTCCCTCTCTCTCTCTCCCTCTCTCTCTCTCCCTCTCTCTCTCTCCCTCCCCTCCCTCCCTCCCTCTTTAGCTGTTATAGCTTTTCTAGCAATCACACTAGCCATCATTGGTCTTTTGATAGCTTGTACCCTTGTCTGTTACTGCCGTAAATACTCATCAAATTCACGTCGTCATTCACATCAAATACAGTTTCCAGCTGCTCCTAACATTGAACTAGATGAAAGATCAGCTCCTCTTCCATTTCAACTCCTCCAGCCTATCGGTAATGGCAGGTTTGGCTCTGTCTGGAAAGCTTTATATAACAATGAGACCGTGGCTGTAAAAGCATTATCTTTGCATCACAAACTTTCCTGGCAAAACGAGAGGGACATACATCTTCTCGATTCTACTCCTCATGAAAACATACTCAAGTTTATATCCAGTGAAAGCCGTGGTCGTGGTTCTAGTTCAGAGTACTTCATCATAACGGAATACCTTCCATTAGGATCACTCCACCAGTTCTTGCGTCATAATACCCTCTCTTGGGAACAAGCATGGAACATCATGTACTCCATCGCCAGTGGCATCACTCACCTACACTCCAACAGCTATTATAACTCAAACGGTTTACTATTAGAGAAATACTCAATAGCCCACAGAGACATTAAGCCCAGTAATATACTGGTTAAGAGTGTCTCTGGTCATTGTGTTGTCGCTGATCTTGGATTAGCATTCATTCTAGACCCAGCTGCTGATGATAGAAAACTAGCAGTCTCTGGACAGGTAATACCTAATTCTCAAGACCCTATGTGTATATAGCACATACAATAAATGTAGTGGCTGGTAGTCTTAAGTTTCTTTTTTTGGCAAGAGAGAGAGAGAGAGAGGAAGATTACAGTATATGTAATTGAATTAGAATTTGTAGGAAGTTGAGTCAGGCAGAGATACATGTGACTATTACATTTTATATGTATATTTGATACATTCAATAAATATTTGTAGTCATACTATATATTCATTTTAAATTCAACTTGTTATTCTAAATTCTCTCTTTTGCCCCTCCCCCTCTCTCTCTGTAGGTTGGTACTTATCGCTACATGTCACCAGAAGCGTTAGATGCTCGTGTTAATCTAAGGGACATTGAGTCCTTTAAGCAAATTGATATGTATGCATTGTCACTGGTGCTGTGGGAAGTGTGTATGAGGTACCAGTCTGATGATGGTAAGGGAGAAAATTGATTTTAAAAATTCATAATGTGATGCGTGTGATTGTGCAAATTAATTACAGTATTTAGCATGGCTTCTGTTTCAAGTTTGTATTGTCAATATTGTCTAGTCTAATGGTACAGGTATCTATTGTAGTTGCAACATTGTAATGTTTTCTTGATTTTTGGAAAGTAGGACAAATATTATGAGTTCACAATTATTAAATTACAACTGCATTATTTTGATCTAAATTGGATTTTTACAATTTTTTTAATTTTGCCTAATTTTGCCAAAAATGAAAAGGAGCGAATTTTTCATTTTTATTGTGTTTTCTGATGCATATACATGTACTTATGTTGCGTAGAAAGTTTGAGCTGATTCCGATCAAAATTGGATTTTTTACGAATTTTTAAAGATACTCCAAAATCAGGTCGAAGTCCCTGTACTATAGTACATGGTCTCGGGCCAAATTTTGCCAAAAATGAAAAAAAGAAAAATTTTTCATTTTTATTATATTTTCTAATGCATATGCATGTACTTATGTTGCGTAGAAAGTTTGAGCTGATTCGGATCAAAATTGAATTTTTTATGAATTTTTAAAGTTGCTCTGAAATTGGGCCAAAGTCCCTGTACCATTATGGTCTCAGGCCAAATTTTACCAAAAATGAAAAGGAGAAAATTTTTCATTTTTATTATATTTTCTGATGCATATACATGTACTTATGTTGCGTAGAAAGTTTGAGCTGATTCCGATCAAAATTGGATTTTTTACGAATTTTTAAAGATACTCCAAAATCAGGTCGAAGTCCCTGTACTATAGTACATGGTCTCGGGCCAAATTTTGCCAAAAATGAAAAGAAGAAAAATTTTTCATTTTTATTATATTTTCTAATGCATATACATGTACTTATGTTGCGTAGAAAGTTTGAGCTAATTCTGATCAAAATTAAATTTTTTTTGAATTTTTAAAGTTGCTCCAAAATTGGGCCAAAGTCCCTGTACTATGGTCTCGGGCCAAATTTTGCCAAAAATGAAAAGGAGAGAATTTTTCATTTTTATAATGTTTTCTGATGCATATACATGTACTTATGCTGTGTAGAAAGTTTGAGCTGATTCCGATTAAAATTCGTCTTTAATAAACTTTTTAAGTTTTCTAAAATTGGGCCAAAATCCCAGTTTTTTTATTGTCACAGATTTTGTGACAATGGAACTAATGGGTTTTTGCTTGTCACGGATTTTGTGACAATGAAACTAATGGGTTTTTGCTTGTCACGGGTTTCGTGACAATGGAACTAATGGGTTTTTACTTGTCACGGATTTCGTGACAATGGAATTAATGGGTTTTTACTTGTCACGGATTTCGTGACAATGGAATTAATGGGTTTTGATGCATATACATGTACACGTGCATTCCTTTAGCCAAAATTGAAAAGGAGAGACTTCTACCTTTTAAATTTTTTCTGATGCATTCTTATGATATGAAAAAATTTTATTGTCTTATAATTGGCTTCTCTCTCTCTCTCCACAGTCCCTGTTCCTCCATACCAGTCTCCTTTCTTTGATATGGTTGGTGAGAAGCCAACGCTTGAGCAAATGAAGGAGATTGTGGTTAATGCTAATAAAAGACCTGGTTTCACGGGAGTATGGTATAGCGATAAGGTAGGGCGTCTATAATTTTTATAAATTTTTCACCTCATATTTATTTAATAAATGACAATGTTGATTGTCTCATTTTTTGTTAACTCAATAGAATTTAAAACGGATCATAAAGCTCATTAAAGAAGGTTGGGATGAAGACCCAGAGGCTAGACTGACGGCTGCTAACATCAAGATACAGCTGGAGAGCCTCATCGGAATGAGACCTAAACTTGACTCGCTCTCCTCTCCTTTATCTCCACCACCCGAGGGAGAGGGTGTCTTCCTCTCTCCGGTCTCAGAGACAAGTCACTCTTCTTGTAAGAAAGTCCACATCAGTGCATCGTTCTCTGGTTCAACAAACGCCATGCTTTCTCCAGCTGCTGCTCCTCATTCGTTTCATGGGAGGTTCTCATTAGATCATGGGGGACACAATCCAGTCACTGTCAGTATGATTCTCTCCCTCAGTGACGTACAAGTGCAATACAGACCACCAGATACAGTAGCTACAGCTAATAGTGAGTCTATTACTGTTCCTGCTCTTATACCACAATCTGAGCCAACTACAGCTCCACAATTGGCTAGTAATAATGAAGTATCTAATGGAGGATCACAAGATGAAGTGAATGTCATTGATGCTACCACGGGACAGCCAAAGAGACTCTCTGATGCGGAACACGATGACACAACAACTTCACTTTCATGATTATACCAATACTCAGTTACCATACAAATATTATTCATGACATTCAGATCTATACATGTACATTGTAATTGTGTGTCATGTCTTGTGTTTATGTGTCAGGACAGAATTATAAAGAAAATACTAAAAACAACACAAATATGAATATCTGGAGTACAGTCTAATAATATAATAGTAGCTATGACCAGTTTTATTATTATATTACACAGCATTTGCGTGCGTGCAGCCTTTCACAAACTTGTGCCTTCTTCCAGTAATGTCTGAGAGTCGCTGTTTAGCTGCGTAGAGGATTCACTTCCACCCTAAATAATTATTTAAAAAAATTTTAACAGCAAAGTTATACCAGCTCACATACCAAGACACTGTCTAGTTGTTTAAGTGCATCATGTACTTCAAGTTCACTTTGATATGGACTTCTAGCTTGGCTCTGTGTAATAGATATATATATTGCATGCAGGTATATGTAGGTATCAGTGCAATAATTGCTATTTTTATGTGAGACTAAATTTTTACATACCCATTCATCGATTTCACTTTGTATTGATTCAAATGCTTCGTCAAAATCAGTATCAGAGTTTGGTAGTGGGAGTTTGACGTCATATACTAGTTTTAGTGTCTCATTCAGTTGTTCCCACTGTTGAGTAATGTCCTATTCACATAATAAAATATGTAAAATGAAATGTTGTGTTACTTTGCTAGCTCTTCTACTCATTCTTGGATGGCTTGCTTCAGGGAATGTGTCTCTTTCTTCATCGTCTTCTTCTGTTGTTGCTGGGTTATGATGAAGCTCTGCAAGCTCTTTTCCATAGTTCTTTTTTATTTTTTTTGCTTTAACCTTGACAAAACACGTCATTATTATTAAAACTCCTACAGTATAATGAGAAGTACCTTTTTCATTTCCACTACAAAACTTTCTGATGCGACTTTTGCTTCTTGAAACCTTTCATATGCTAGCTGAAAGGCTTGTCCAACGGTTTGTGTGATTTTATGAGCCTACAATAATCACATAAGGATTGTCCAAAGTCCATGCATAATGTAGCATGCAGTGTATACTCACTATATTTTGAGTTTCAATGCAGTAGCATTGCATTGTGACTTTTTGATCTGCTTTCTTTGTGTCTATTTTCCTTGAAATGAATGAAAAGAACTTGTGGCCTCCTCCCTCACAGTCATCAGAGCAATAAGCTATTTTTTGAAGTTTAAGTTTGCAGATGTGCATCTAGATTTATAAAGATTTCGCATCTGAATCCAACTTCTCATTAATCCATACCTTTGATTTGATTTCAGTGATGATAAGTGCTCTGATTGATATCGAAATTTCTACTTCGGGCAGCTTTGATGATGTTTTCTGTAATAAAAAACTATAAATTAAATTGATGTTTGAACATTTGAATATACTTTGAGTTCCCTGACAACTCTTGCTACAGTTCCTTTACTATCGTCCATATCTTCCACTTCAAGGACTCCTAAAAACTGCAAGTCATTAAGTAGAATAACACTCGAGCTGATTCACACTAATACCTTTCCTTTATATTGCACAGTACCGTACAGGAGTGTATTGTTGTCATGGATCCAGTTCTCTGATATTAAAATAAAGAGGGTGTCGTTAGTAAGCATTATATACTCTGGACTCACTCTTCTTTGCAGGCCCGCCTCTTTGTTGCGCTGGATCTGCGTCTGGGTCTTGCATTGCTTGCCACGTATCTCTAATAACTGCCATCTGCTGCTTCCTTGCCATTTTTCCTGAGCTGGAGAAGAGGGAGAGACGCAGAAGATCAACAAAAACAGCCCATCCAATAGTGCACAACGAGCCACACCCAAAAATCACCTGAAATAGGCGTGGCTCACACATAGTAAATTTTAAGATGGCGTCCAAAAGGACATTATCAGACATAGAAAAGGTATCCTAGATAATTAGATATTTCTCTTTATTTATTTATTAATTTAGGAAGATGGAGGAACAAGGTAGCAAAGTTTTTAGGTGGTAGGCCTTTTTGCATAATAATTTAATTTTGCTTAGAAAGAAAGTCCTAAAGTTTAGAAACTATAATCCTCACACAGAAGACCTGAAGGAGAAAAAACTAAAAAGAACTATGCCGGAATCAAGTAAAATATAAATGTGATTATTAAAATTTTATCAAAAATATTTTCACACTACAGTTGAAAATCAAGTATCAGAACAAATTGAGGCGGGTGGACATTCTCAAGTTGAGGAAGTGGTAAGTGCAATAGTTGTCATTAATTTTAATTATAATCAATTCTTTATTATACCTTTTCCATCCCTCTGTTATAGAATTTATCTAACCTGGCACCTAAGAAAGCTAACTGGTTAGCAATGACAGTAAATTATAAATGGTTTTTTAAATATAAATTAGGGATTTAAAGAGAGATACAGCATCAAAGTTGGAAATACTCGAAAGACGGACACAGAAAGCAATTATTGAGTTGATTCGTAAGGAAACAATAATAATTATAATTATTAGCATTTATTGTTATAGGTGAAAGATTAAAGGAGGATGGTGAAGGATTAGCATCTGCAGTTGCTGCACAAGGAGAAGAGTATGGACATGACGATGACACACAAGATTAACATAAAAATAATCATCATTATTGAAATTGGGCCATGATTAATGTGGGTGTATATGGGCGTGATCGATGCATATCATATATCTATCGCGCATGATCGATCTCAGGCAACAAGATCTCTTGATTTTAATTCCCGTGAGCTGACTTGTATATAAAAACAGCAGAGCCGTATTCAGAAGATGATGAAAAGACAGTTCCTTCTTCTGTGTCTGTTGTATTTTTGTCTTTTTATTGTCAGCAGTGAGGGCAAAGAGCAAAGGGATAGGAATGGAGTAAGATTCCCGAGAGGCTAACTATTAAATGCTTGTTGTTTACTGTCTATGTTTCACATTTTTAGCCCGACCTGTCTATTAGCGAAGAATTATTTGTGCGTCAGTTGGATAAAGCCGCCAATTCTGTGGACCAGTCAACTTACAGGTTCTGTAGCAATGGAGAATGGACTAATCCGAGTGAGTCTTTTTTAATGCAATATATAACAATAATGATAAAAATAGCAGTGGTATATACACACTACCATTGAAATCATCCCCATTAGTACAAAATTGTAAACCAGGTAAGCCCCACAAAATACACGGTAGGTTAATTATTCAAATACTTTGTTTATTTTTCTGGGAGCTTGTTATTATATAAGCCTGTCTAACACTCTTCTAAACTGATGATGTGATAATATCTACATGATTGTATGTTTCTACTACAAAAAACTTTTCTGTTGCACAGACAATAAGTGAACAATAAAGCACACAGTGGGCGTATTTGGCCAAACTCCCCTGTACTATTGCCCGATTTTGGAGCAACTTTAAAAATTTGTTAAATTTGAGTGGAATCAACTCAAACTTGATGCACAATATAAGTGCAAGTGCATCAGAAAATAATGTAAAATTGGAACTTTTCATTTTTGATTAAATTTCGCCGAAGTACTTGATACATATTGATGCCCTTATGTTATGTGGAAAGTTTGAGCTTATTTTGACAAGCATTTTCAAAAACAAGCCAATTTTTTGAAAAAAGCAAAGGGTATAAGCTCGTGGTTTTTCTAAAAATTGGCCCCCAATTTTAAGGGTGATTGAAATACCTCCTTGTGCTGTATAAGAAGTTTGAATTTATTTCTGTGAAAATTTTTTGAGTTTTAGGCAATTAAAAGAAATCCCCATTTCTTAAAGATATACCACTTAGATTTTCGACTTGAAGTTGTAGATTTGTTAAGATATTGCAGTTGAGATTGTGTTAGTACCAAACTTTATTCCTCAATTTTTCATAGTAAAGCTATGAATAATATGTATTTGAGCACATGCCCAGCACACCTTATTAATATGACCTTATATGTAACTGGATTCATAGATGGTGGTCTACTAATATGACAAGCATTGATCAATGCTACATTTAATGGACACTATAAAGGTGGGCATCCACTATGTAACTTTGTTGCCAGTACTTTTGATGTGGTTGTGCAACATGTTGCATGAAGCTGAGACTCTCTCTACTTCATGCAACATGTTGCCCAACCACATCAAAGGTTTAACCACAAGTTACACTCAGCAATCCTGCATAGTGGATGCCCACCTTAAATGTTGACCCATGGCAGCCTCCAATAAAATTAAATCCTTTACAATTGCTGTTATACATGTAGCTATCACTTATCAAGAAATATATAGACAATATATTTCTTGATAAGTGATAACTACATGTGCATATATTACTATTGCAATAATTTTTTGTTTTTGATTTATACATTACTATGCTCCATGTCTGCATATCTTTCTCCATACATGTAGATGAGCAAGATAATTCATGCATATGTGTGTCCTGTCACTCAGTCTATGAGGTGTGTGGTACAACACTAATGTACATAAGCTCAGCATTGAACTTGTCGTTAAACCTCAGAATAAATAATGATAGTAATGGCACTGATTCTAATGAATCAACTACAGCAGAAGGTATGGGAACATGTTAGTACATACACATACATATTTATTCTGACCTCTTACTCTAGCTTATGGCTATGGAACTATCATGATAGTGTTCATATCACTGTTATCATTGCTTGGCTTATTTATTGTCCCTTGTCTTACTCGGACAAACCCTACGGGTCAGTTAATCAGTAGATACCTATTGACATTGCTGACTGCTATGGGAGTATCAGCTTTGATGTGTGGAGTAATGTTTGAGCTCATACCTACTGTAAGTCATTAAAATGTTGTTTTTGTATTTTTTTCTATTCGCTGATATTATATTCTTTTCCTTTTATGCAGATATTCCGTATTGGTCATAGTCATGGTGAGAGTCATGATCATGATCATGATCACGATCACAATCATGATCATGATCACGATGATGATGAATTAAGTGAAAGCGAGATAGTCTGGAAAGGCACTGCAATAGTAGGTGGTGTCTTAATTTTTTACGTGCTGGAGTCAATACTACAAACACTTGTGGATAACACAAAAAAGAAGAATGATAAGTCAAAGCTAACAGCTGAGGAACAAAAAGCAAAGGATGACCAGAGCCCACTAATGGTAGGAATATTTTAATACTGGACTATGTGTGGTCAATGAGTGGTTGATCCTTGTTCTTCATATACTGTAGGATGGTGAAATAGAAGTTGTAGCTGATACCAATCAAACCTTTGTCAAAAGGTTTGTTCCTTTAAACAGGTTCGTCCTTTAGCTTGGATAATATTGATTGGAGATCTAAGTCATAATTGTGCTGATGGTATTGCATTGGGAGCTGCTGTTTCCCAAAGTCTTGCTCTAGGACTAAGTACAGCTTTTGCTATAGGCCTCCATGAAATACCTCATGAAATAGGTAATGCATTATGACTTTTCTCTGTCATTCCTCTCTTTTCTTCTATCTTTTCTTGTAGCTGATTTTGGTATACTTGTAAAGTCAGGGTTGCATTGGCTCACTGCTCTTCTGTTCAATTTCCTTTCATCACTGACAGCAATTGTTGGGTTTTTCATTGGCGTTGCTATTAGTACTAACAGTGCTACTGCTAATGAATGGTTGTTGGCTATAGCTGCTGGTTCATTCCTGTATATTGCTCTTGCTGATCTGGTAAGTCTTTGTCTACATAGCATGAAAATACAAATTAAATTTATATTATATATAGCTCCCGGAGTTAAAACTATCTTCATTCCATTCTCATGATCCTGATGCTCCTGAACAACTTGAGTATACAACCAATCAGAAAATCGGTCATGGCTTTGTGATTGCCATTGGATTTCTGATTTCCTTTGCAGTCATGCTAACTGTGTCACTCAACGAAGAGAGACTAAATGATTTATTTTAGTAATTTTTGTATTTTAGTTATATTGCCTTATCTTATTCACTTATTGCCTTCAAAGAAAATTATTTTACAACAGTTAACTTTTGAATAATAAAACTAAATACGGCATGAATATGGCTTCATATTATATCCCTGCATATGCATGCACACGCTGACACAGAGAAGCAAAGACAGTGCACACGGCACTAGTCAACTTTGCTTATAAAACGCTGTCTGCACAGCATAGCCAACACCAACAGTTACATTTCTCCCATGATCTACTGCTACCTTTCACTAAAGGCTTGACCAAAGGTCATCCGACCCATTCGTATGACTTCACCACCTCTTCCCCGTCTCTACACTGAATTAACACGCCAGGCTAAGGCCCACTGACTACTGAAGTGATCATCCTTCACAGCATGCAGAGTAAAATGTTGCTAAAATACTCCTCAGTCTGACTGGTTGACACAGGTGAGTAAGGGCATCACGACCAGCATTGCCGAATCCTTTTTATTTATTCATTGTATGTATTATATACATATAAATAATAGGTGAATCAGCAATCCCTAATCAGTTATCCTTTACAATTACAGCCCGCCTAGTCTGGCTAGTGCTTGTTGAAGATTATGGAAAGATCAGCCCTACTGTGTCTATTGCTTTCTTGCTTCCTTATTGTTAGCAGTGAGAGTAATGAGGAAAAGCCTATAAATGTGGTAAGACTCCATTATTGCCTTATATAATGGCTTCACACATTTTTATATAGCCTGATAAGCTATTTGTGAGTGAGTTGGATAAAGCTGCCAGTTCTGTGGACCAGTCAACTTACAGTGCCTGTAGCAATGAATGGACTAATTCAAGTGAGTCGGGTGAACACAATAGTGATTTCGGCTGAAGTCATATGCAGCTGAATCGAGCATCATTAGTAGCTTATTAGAACAAAGTTCTGTAGAATGTTTCAGGTGTTTAATTATTAGAAAGAACCTAATTTGCAATTAATTGTTTATTATACTTGACTGGATCAATGCAAAATAGATTTTGGGCAATTTATGTCCCTTGAAAAAGTTTCATGTGGATATACAATAAATGATGGATGTTATTTAACATAAATCAGCCATCTAGAACTTTAATTACCATATAGCGCTTTAATTTGGCGATTGGCAGTTTTCAAGCAGAATCGCCAATCATTAATGCGCATACTCAGTAATGCACGTGTACACAAAAATTCACCAAATTAAAAACTGCAAATTATAATTTTACAGCAAAATTGCCAAAATGAAGTGCTATACGGTATGCTGGACATTATTTGGAAAATTTTGCTAAAGATTACTTTTGGCAGTTTTTAACTAGGGATTGGCAATTTCACTTTCAAATGCTCCATTTCCTTACCACTAATTGAAGTGATGTACATGCAATGTGCACTGCATGCATAACTGTTACTGCATGTATGTACTGCTCAAGCAATAAGTGAACAGTGAGCACACAGCAGTAGCAGCACCAAGCAGTAGTAGATTAATAGAATTGATTAGTCCCATTTTAACATATTCAATCCCATGCAACATTGCATGATATGGCAAATTTTCCCTTACCATCACTGATGCATGAGCGTGCATGTTAATCAGTACTGAAAGAGGCATGAATACTGTGTGCTGAGAATCGTGGGACCATAGATAAAGGTTGCGTGATACTAATACATTGACCTTACCTGTAACTAAATTCATCAGTGAAAGCGCAACATACATCAACACTATGTGTGCATGTTAATTAGTACTGAACAAATAGTAGAGGTATGAATACTGTGTGGTTGAGCACATGCCCAGCATATGCAAACGAATCATAGATATAGTGGGACCATAGATAACAGTTGCACAATACTAATTCATTGACCTTATCTGTAACTAGATTCATGGAAGCGACATACATCAAAGCTATACACAGTTAAATGAATAATAACACTAGGGGCCTCCAATGACATAAAAATCTTAAAAGAAATTACTTATTATACAGACAAAATGCTACTTACTATTGTTTTCAACTTTTATATTACTACTATAACCCCTGTCTGCTTGATATATTGCACATTCTTCTTCATATACATGCAGATGAGCAAGATGATATTCATGTGTCCTGTCACTCAGTCTATGAGGTGTGTGGTACAACACTAATGTACATGAGCTCAGTA